GTCCAGTGGGCTGGTCTCAGCTGCTTGCCTTGGGAGCATGGGCTCTCTTGCATGGCGCATCCCTGGCAGGACCAGGCTTCGGGGCCCGCATAGGCTTCTGCCCAAGAAGAGGCTCCGGTGAGGCTGTGATTGCTGAGTACCCCCTGCTTGTCATTCTTCAGATGGGGACATCACCTGCCCTGAGGACACCTCGGTGCTTACCTGGAATGTCACCAAGGCTGGCCACATGGCACAGGCCCCATGTCCTGAGAGCAAGAGGGGCATAGTGAGGAGGTTTTGTGCGGCTGACGGAGTCTGGGGGCCTGTCCACAGCAGCTGCACAGATGCGAGGCTCCTGGCCTTGTTCATTAGAGCCAAGGTGAAGCTTCCACCCCGCTGCCCACATGCCCCCTCCACAGCCCACCCCAGCCTCTCTAGGACCCAGCTTGCAGACCCTTTTCCCCGAGGCCCAACCCACAAGCTGCTCAGCTTCTCTGAACTGGAGCCCTAGCAGAGCCAGGAAGTAGGTGTGGGAGGGCTCAAGGGGCCAGCAATCTCCATGGGGCTGGGATGCTCTTCTCAAACCACCATTCTACGACGTGTCCCGCTTCCTGCTGTCTCGTCTGTCTCAGCTGCTGCAGGCAGGCCAGGGCAGTCCTGCTGAGGAGGTACCACAGATCCTGGCACAGCTGCCAGGGCAGGCGGCAGAGGCAAGTTCACCCTCCGACTTACTGACCCTGCTGAGCACCATGAAATACCTGGCCAAGGCGGTGGCAAAGGCCAGAATACAGCTTGACCGCAGCGCCCTGAAGGTGAGATCTCTGAGCCACAGTGGTTGCCAGCTGGGCAGTCAGGGGGTGAAGACTGCCCATCTGTGGGCACTTCTGTCCCTCTGGCATCACCATGGGCTGTCGGGCAGCAGACCTTTCCAGAGTCCGGGGTCCTGCTCCTGGTCCATTTCTCCTCTCAGACACCAGCCTCTGAGGCTGCAGAATGGAGAAGGCCTGGCACTGGGAGCACATGGGGGCTGGAGGCAGGAAAGGGTGTGGAGACATGAGGCCCGAGGCACGTGTGTGCAAGCAGGCGTGTGGCTATGACACAGACAGGAAGTTTCCATGAAGACGCTAAAGTGTGCTTGGCTTTGCCAGGCTCACCTAAATCGGCTGTCAGTATGGGCATCCATTGGTGACCCATGAGCTGCAGCCAAAAGTGTAACAAAGGGCAATGATATTACACACTGTTCATGCCTGGGAATACATAGCATATGTGAATGCACAGACACGCGTGTGGCCGTCACCTCCAGGACACGGTGCCCTCTATCACTGCTGGTCACCATTCCTAGCTTTGCAGACCTGGAGGTGCCAAAGAATGGGGGAAGTCCCTTCTGAGAACCTGGGTGGCCCCAAGGGATGGAGGGGGAAGAAGGCTTTTCAGCAGAGGGACTGGGTGCAGGTCAGGGGACATATCCTTAAAGATGCCCCAAGGTGGTTGGCCGAACAGCTCCCCATTCTTCCCGTCTAGAAAGTCTCCCTTCACAGGCCTGTCTTCCTCTCCCTTTTCTCTCCAACCTCGGGTCACACCCTGGACTGGGAAGGGAAGGTGTGGGGCTGTAGTTCTCACTGCCCCCGGCTCAGTCCTGTGGGCGCCAGCAGACAGGGCTCATCTTTCTGTTGGGTGCTGCAGAATCTCCTGATTGCCACAGACAAGGTCCTAGATATGGACACCAGGTCTCTGTGGACCCTGGCCCAAGCCCGGAAGCCCTGGGCAGGCTCGACTCTCCTGCTGGCTGTGGAGACCCTGGCATGCAACCTGTGCCCACAGGACCACCCCTTCACCTTCAGCTTGCCCAATGTGCTGCTGCAGAGCCAGCTGTTCGGACCCACGTTTCCTGCTGACTACAGCATCTCCTTCCCTACTCGGCCCCCACTGCAGGCTCAGATTCCCAGGCACTCACTGGCCCCACTGGTCCGTAATGGAACTGAAATAAGTATTACTAGCCTGGTGTTGCGAAAACTGGACCACCTTCTGCCTTCAAACTATGGACAAGGGCTGGGGGATTCCCTCTATGCCACTCCTGGCCTGGTCCTTGTCATTTCCATCATGGCAGGCGACCAGGCCTTCAGCCAGGGCGAGGTCATCATGGATTTTGGGAACACAGATGGTTCCCCTCACTGTGTCTTCTGGGATCACAGTCTCTTCCAGGGCAGGGGGGGTTGGTCCAAAGAAGGGTGCCAGGCACAGGCGGCCAGTGCCAGCCCCACTGCTCGGTGCCTCTGCCAGCACCTCACTGCCTTCTCCGTCCTCATGTCCCCACACACTGTTCCGGAAGAACCCGCTCTGGCGCTGCTGACTCAACTGGGCTTGGGAGCTTCCATACTGGCGCTGCTTGTGTGCCTGGGTGTGTACAGGCTGGTCTGGAGGGTCGTGGTGCGGAACAAGGTCTCCTATTTCCGCCACGCCGCCCTGCTCAACATGGTGCTCTGCTTGCTGGCCGCAGACACTTGCTTCCTAGGCGCCCCCTTCCTCCCTCCAGGGCCCCGAAGCCCGCTCTGCCTGGCTGCCACCTTCCTCTGTCATTTCCTCTACCTGGCCACCTTTTTCTGGATGCTGGCGCAGGCCCTGGTGTTGGCCCACCAGCTGCTCTTTGTCTTTCACCAGCTGCCGAAGCACCGAGTTCTCCCCCTGATGGTGCTCCTGGGCTACCTGTGCCCACTGGGGTTGGCGGGTGTCACCCTGGGGCTCTACCTACCTCAAGGGCAATACCTGAGGGAGGGGGAATGCTGGTTGGATGGGAAGGGAGGGGCGTTATACACCTTCGTGGGGCCAGTGCTGGCTATTGTAGGTGTGAATGGGCTGGTACTAGCCATGGCCATGCTGAAGTTGCTGAGACCTTCGCTGTCAGAGGGACCTCCAGCGGAGAAGCGCCAAGCTCTGCTGGGGGTGATCAAAGCCCTGCTCATTCTCACACCCATCTTTGGCCTCACCTGGGGGCTGGGCCTGGCCACTCTGTTAGAGGAAGTCTCCGTGGTCCCTCATTACATCTTCACCATTCTCAACACCCTCCAGGTAGGTGATAGGGGGGTGGCTGTGCTTTTTGCCCTTTTAGATGGTCTAAGTCACTGCCGATCTCTTCTCTAGGAGGTGCCAAGGCGTAGCAGAAGAAACATAGGTTCAGGAATTTTGGAAGGCTTAGGTGTGGATCCCAGTTCCTCCACTGAGTAGCTGGATAACTTCGGACAAATTATATAACCTCTCTGAGCTTTGGTTTTCTTATCTGTAAAATAATAGCTGATTTTCTTGGAGAACTCAGGAAATTGTCAGTACCCAATCCTTTACTATCCCTTTTATAACTATAACAATAAGAAAAGCATCTGAAATAGATCCTATGCACCAAATGGTGGTAACAAAAATTGAGACGAGAAGCCTTTGCATGTGAATTACACAGGACAGAAGGAGCACGTTGATTCGGGTAGATCCCTTCCTCCTTGACCAGCTTATCCCCATGTCCCTCTTCTTAGGGTGTCTTCATCCTATTGTTTGGTTGCCTCATGGACAAGAAGGTGAGTCTGCCCACCTAACCCCCTGCCTCACTTGCAGCCCACAGGCCGGGGCTGTGGCTGGCATAAGTGGAGCATTTACCTCTCCCGCAGGTACAAGAAGCTTTGCGCAAACGCTTCTGCCGTGCCCAAGCCCCCAACTCCACCATCTCCCTGGTGAGTTGCTGGCTTCAGATCCTCAGCTCTCCCTCTGAGAGCATGTCAGAAGGCATTCCACGGCCTTCCTCAGAGGACATGGGCACAGCGAGAAGTTGAGAGAAGACTGGGGTTGTTTTTTAGAATGAGCAGGTTTCAGGTTCCAGCTCCCCACCGGTGAAATGAGCAGCCTGGTCAGAGCAGTCAGGATCAGGGTCCCGGGTTCCTGATTATCACCTGGACTCCTGCTGATTCTCTTGTCTCTGGTTTCTCCATCTAAAAATCTGCCTCCAGTTAGCATTTGAAGGAAAAGTGTGGGATCAGAACTCATGGGAGTTACTATAGCGGAGAGCAAAATTTCTAGGATTCCTGCAGCCCAGGCAGCAGTGCATGTGAGAAAGTAAAACGGATACAACTTCTTCAAGGGAGAGTTGACAATAATAATAATCGCCCTGCAATTGGGCCTTTCCACCCCTTCCTAGTCCACAAATGAAGGCTACATCTTGGAACACAGCAAAGGAGGAAGTGACACTGCCAGGTGAGAACTAGACTTTCTCAGGGGCAGTGTAAGCAGGGTGGATTGAGGATGGTGTGGCAAAGGCCAAACCAACTTTGCCAAACTGCTGGCAAAGTTCTGGAGAGAAGCCTCCTCTTTCTATACTCAGCCCACACCAAAGGGTAGGAAACAGGTTTTTCTAGGGTAGCCATTGCTAGATGGGTGGGGGACGGTGGAAATGTCAAAGAGCAGAAGGCATAGCACCTTCTCTTGCTTTCCAAGAAAGCAAGAAGTTTCACCACCACCAGTCCTTGACTCAGTTTCTCTGAAAATTCCTTTTCACATTATCACACTTATTATCATGAGAATCATGCCTTGAAGGGATTGCCATGGGTGGGCTTGGTATCCAGAGGGGAGGGCAGCCTGCAGAAGTTGGGCACGGTATCCATTCACCACTCCCGAGCTCTTTCACAGGAAGACAGATGCTTCAGAGTGAACCACACACGGACCCATGTTCCTGCAAGGGAGTTGAGGCTGTGTGCTTGAACCCACCAGATGAGCCCTGGCCCAATGCTCTGAACTCTTCCTGCCTCCTAGAGCTCAGCCCTTGAGAAAGTCAGGCTTCTATTTCCCTTAGTCACACTCATTTATCTTACAGCTCACCCCTTCTCATTTCTAAAGTATCCAGCAAGAATAGCAGGAAAAATTAGCTAAAGGCACCTAATGAATAAGGCTGCCTTTGCTCCAGAAATAATCAACAGATATCAAAGTGTGTAATAATTACAAGTGAACTTTCTCAACCAGTTTTTAACTACAACAATACATGTTGTGAATGAATATATTTGATAAAAATGGTTTTAATTGACCTATTCAGCGATTTCTGATGATTTCTTTTGCAATAGTTATGAAGAAAAGATGACTTAATTGACAGGAACTTCTGATCTTCCAAACATTAGAGATGAAGGGCAGGACTTGGTTTGTCTCTTCTCAAGTTTAGGAAAAGATGAAGTTAATTGGTCCCTCTTTCTCTAACCTTTAAAAAAAATAAATATAAAATGTAAGTTTCACAACCGTATCCATGTATAGAAAGAGGTATTGATTGATACAAGCACATTGTAAGAATAGGTTATACAAATTTAAAGTTTAATATAAATTTATATCAATTAATAACATTTAATTTATATTTTAAAATTAATACTAGATATAGAGAAGATAGATTTAACAAAATCTTTTTGAAGAGACCAAGATACCTATCTGGCTGAATTAACTTAGGGAATTTACCAGAGGAAGATACAGGATTCTGAGAAATTTTTAAACTAGATACATGAAAAAAGTGATGAATCAGTCTTTGTTAATTATGCAATTCATGGATTTTTTATAAAATGGGATGGGGGCATTTTCTGTTAAAACAAAAATGGATATGCTATCACGTGCTGTTGAAAACACTTTTCTTACAAACACCATGCTTTCACTTAATGATTAGTGTGAATATTTTAATTGTGTATAAATTGGCCCAAATGTTTCTATAAGTGGATTCATTATCCTTTCAAAGAGAAGCCACCAATACAGCAGGGCCGTCATGCTGTTTCTAAGCCTCACACTCACTCCAGCCCTGTAGGAGGCAGGTGGTGACTAAGACAGGGCAGGCTCTGCCTTGTAGCATAGACACCTCTCAACTCCACTTCTTTTCACTTTCCCTTCATTGATAGTTACAGTTTTCATTTTATAAATTACAAAAATATCTTTTGGTTACAAATCCAAATAATACTCTTTCACTTTAGAAGCAACAGGGTCCCCTTTCTGAGTGCGCTTCTGTAGATATATGTGCTCTAATTTTCTTTCGCAATTGTTTGCACATACTCAATGCATGCTCTGCTGGTAAAAACACACAGAATTACACCGGGCACTGTGGCTCACGCCTGTAATCCCAGCACTTTGGGAGGCCCAGGTGGGCAGATCACATGAGATCGGGAATTCAAGACCAGCCTGGCCAACATGGTGAAACCCTGTCTCCACTAAAAATACAAAAATTCACCAGGTGTGGTGGCATGTTCCTGTAGTCCCAGCCACTCGGGAGGCTGAGGCAAGAGAATTGCTTGAACCAAGGAGACAGAGGTCGCAGTGAGCCAAGATCACGCCATTCTACTCCAGCCTGGGCAACAGAGAGAGACTCTATCCAAAAAAAAAAAAAAAAAAACCCCACAAAAAGGCCACACCACAGAATTGACAGATGGAATGACATTAAGTTCTTGTTTACTTGGCTGTAACCATAAAACAAAACAAAACAAAACAAAAAAAGACAGGACTGTAAAAGAAGGCTTTAGAGACAAAGGTAAGAAAACTGACACTCAGCAGCAATTCCGTTTCTAAAAGGATGGCTTAAAAAAATAAGTGGGCCAGGCACAGTGGCTCACGCCTGTAACCCTAGCACTTCGGGATTCTGAGGTGGAAGGATCACTTGAGCCCAGGAGTTCAAGACGAGCCTGGGTAACATAGGGAGGACCCTATCTCTACAAAAAAAAAAAAAAAAAAATTAAAAATTAACCAGGTGTGGTGGCACATGCCTGTGGTTCCAGGTACTCAGGAGGCTGAGGTGGGAGGATTGCCTGAGCCAAGGAGGTTGAGGCTGCAGTGATCACACCACTGCACTCCAGCCTAGGCAACAGAGTGACACCCTGTCTCCAAAAGAAAAAAAAGAAAGAGCGAGAGAAAGAAAAGTGGATGAGTGAATAGATAATGTGCACAAACAGTGTGCATTCCAGTGTGTTTATGTCCTCTAAAAAGAGGCACCTAGAAAAATAAACTAGGATATAGCCATACAAAGGAACACCATGTGGTCATTAAAAATGATGATGTATAGCTACACCTACTGATAGGGAAAAATATTTAGACTATATTGCAGCGGGATAATTAAAGAATCAGAGAGACCGAGGGGCTGAAGAGGAATTATTTCATTATTTAGGTACACAGACCTAGTCGGATTAACATTTAAAGCACTGAGCCTCGAGCAAAGAGTTAAGCTACCTTTTAAGCATTTTGTGGGGTGAGGGGAGATCTGTGCAGGGGGAAGCATATTACAGAAGCGAGAAGCAAAGACAGTTATTTAATTGAGACATGCATTATATTATTTTTTACTTTTTAAGGAACAACATGTTTTATGACTTGAGATTACCTGTTTAGTGACCTTGGAGCTGCACAGCTAGAGAAACAGATTCTCACAATGCCTGGGAAAGGGAGAGATAAGGCTCACTAGTCACAGAAAAACAGGCAGTTAATTTTAAGGGACTCCAGCTCTTTCTCTTCTTCAGCGGGGACTGGGTTTTTTGTGTTTTTTTTTTTTTAACATATAACTGAGATTTTGCTTACACATTCTTTAATTTCTTTTAATTTCTGTTCCAGTTCCCCACTTTGGTACTTTTTATAACACAGGTGTTAACAGAAAGCACCACTATTTGCCACCTCTTTGCGGAGCTGAGCTGTTTCTTCTACTGGCAGCCGCTGATATTTGGTTAATGCCATCAACTGTGTGGCAGTGTGTCAGGTTACTACTGCCTCTACAGTTGACGAATACTCCTAATTACAGGGGTGAAAGGCAAGGGAGGATGAGGCAGATTCCAAGAGAAAACGAAAACCCACCAATGAGGGTTTTGAATCTTTTAAAGGTTGAGAACCATCCTCTAAACAAGGAATCCAGGGATTATCTGGAGCAAGTCTGAACTGGAACATGGGCTAACTTGAGCATTTTAGCTGTGATTTCTACGACAGCTCAGCCATTATTATCTTTCCAGTCTTTTATGTCTACATTTTTTGTGACATTTGTGTCATTTTTGCAATTATGCTTTTTTTAGTTCTTTTTAAATTTTCATTATAAACTGGATACCCTAAGAGTTCCCCTTGCTTTAGAGGCATTAGAAAGAAGGATGGCTTGATTGTTCCTAACACACATGTCCCTGTCTATTTAGCCGATATGCCTGTGCTCCACAGATCCAATATAGGCCAGGGGGTGCTTTCGAAGCATCTGGAGCCTCTAGCTGATGCCAAGAGTGGCTTAAAGTAGAGAACCAAGAGAAAGGGTTTGGATCTGGTAAGCAGGAGTCGTTCTGGGCATTTCTGCATAGAATTGTGTTTTTAGTCTCATCCTAATACTGTTGCCCTAGGCAGGTTGTTTCTCCTACTGCCTCTGTGCAAGCCTTCTTTTTTTTTTTTTTTTTTTGGTCAGGCGATACAGTACTTTTTAATTATGGAGGTTTTTAACAACCAAACACTGGCTGAGGCTGTTGGTTCACTGGCAGTGATAGGCGAAGTGAAGTTATCTTGTGGCATTCAGTTTTTGCCTCTCATGGCGACTGGTCCCCTATATTAGTTTCTCCACATACATAGCATGAGGAAATTTCTAAGCTGCCAGCTACGTTTTTAGCTAGTTGAGCAAGTAAGGTTTTGGTTGATGGGAAAGCTCAGGCACTGACTGATCAAAATGCTTATAGAATGACTTATAGACCTGGAATTGTGGGGTTGGACACACCCCCACAATTGAGTCCTTCCAGTCTTTTTGACAATTAGTAGTGGAACTCCAAGGCCTACTCCTTGTCTATCAACTCGTAAGAGTGCTGTCTGTCCTGTAGACCAAAAAGGTAGCTGTGGCTTTAAGATAGTAAAATTTAAAGGATTGCATGTTCTTGTCTTGCAATTTGGTATAATTGACATACTACTTAGCAGAGCAGTCCTTCCTGAATATAAGTGTTGGAGGTGTGCTAGCATAGACCACTGAATGTTACAGTCTGGACATCTGATTTGTGGTTCTCCGTACAGATGTTTAGGGCTGCCCCTGCTAAGCCTCCCTTGTGTTAAACCATTGCAGACTGTTTCTGGTTGTATGTGCAGGTTTCTAACTTGGTTCCTGTACATTTATAGTACGTATGGTACAGTAGAGTTTTAACTATGGTATTCCTTACCCAGGTAGTATGTACACAGTGTGGACATCCTTCTAGAGATTTCTCCCCTTCTAGTATAGGCAGAAATGGTAACAACATCAGTATATGTAATAGAAACATGCTTATACTAGGCATGGGCATGGCAAACCTTCCTCGGGGCACAGACATTTGCAGTATTTGCAATGATAACATAACAACAGAACAATCAGTTTTGACAGAATTATAACTAGGTTTATAAATTGTATCCACATTTACTTATCCGGAGATGGTCCTCTTAGCTTCAGCTGTGCGTAGACTAGCCAGCTTCCGGCAGGTGACCAGAGTAGAGCTTGCAGGATCCTCAAGCCTCAGCCATGCGTAGACTGACCATCCTCCAGCGTGGTCAGAGCAGGGCAGTTGTCCTTCTTATAGGTGGTTGGGTTTCCCCGTAGGACTATTCGGGTGGGGCGATCTGGGTCTTGTTGGTTAATCCACTGGTTATCATCGGAGTCACTGCTGCCGCTGGTTTCAGCTGGCTATAGTGAATCCAAGGTGTGACACCTGCAAGTTTAACAGCAGTGGAAGTAGACATGATTACAATATGAGGCCTATCCTATATAGGTCCTAGATTGGTTGGATTCCATTCTTTTAGCTTAAACAAAATCTTTAGGTTTGAAAGAGTGTATTGGGTCTCTTAGACTTATAGGCATTTTTCTATACCTAGCCACGCATTTTTACATGGCCATACTTAAAGTCTGCATTTGCCTTCTTAAAGTTAGTTCTTCTAGTTTACAGAGATTACCTTTAATCTGTCTTATGATGGGGGATGGGGTGGCCGACTGAAAAAAATCTCATAGGGCGACAACCCAGTTTGTTTGGTGGAGGTGCACCTGACTCGGAGGGGGACCATGGGCAAGACCTGATCCTGCCTTTGATGAGTTTTTTTACACAATTTCTTCAGTAGCTGTTTGAGTGTCTGGTTCATGCATTCCACCTTCCCTGAACTCTGTGGTCAGTAGGCTCTGTGCAGTTTCCATTTGATCTTTAAAAGTTGAGTTAGGTGTTGTACAACTTCTGCCACAAATGCAGGACCATTGTCTGATCCTAGGGTTGGAGGCGACCCAAACCTTGCTATGATGTCTTTCAGGAGCAGCTCTGTCACTGCTCATGCCTTTTCAGTTCTGGTGGGGAAGGCCTCAACCCACCCTGAGTAGGTGCAAACACACACTAGCATATACCGGTAACCTCCTGCTTGAGGCAACTCAGTAAAGTCTATACGCAGGTTTTCACAAGGCACAGCTCCTACTTCCTGAATTCCTAGAGGTCGAGTCGGTCCTTGTTTTGGATTGTTCTGGGCACAGGATAAACATTGTTCACAAACAGCACGGGTGATGGCAGAGAGCTGTGGCACATAGAGATGCCAACCTATCAAAGTCTCTAGGGCCATCCTTCCAATGTGTGTTCCTTGATGGATCTGCTTCACAAACCTTGGGGCTACGGTCTCTGGGATGGCAAGCCTCCTGTCAGAGAACAGCCACCATCCACCTTTAATATATTTTTTTTGTTTCCTGACCAAACCAAGCTTCTTCACTTGAAGAGTAATTGGGTACCTCTGGTAAAGGGGGCTCTATAAGGAGAGGCATTGCTAGAGTTCTTTCGTCAGGTAAAGCCTTGTCATTGCTGCCCACTGAGCCTCTGGGTCTGCCTTTCTGTTGCCCTGTGCCTCATAGCTTCTTTCGATTTGGTGTCCTTTGCAATGAATGACAGCCACCTTCTCTGGAACCTATATGGCTTCTAATAATTGCAAAATTTCCTCTCTCTTTTTTAAATTTTTTTTTTCCTTTAGTACTCAAAAGTCTTCTCTCTTTGTATACTGCCCCATGGGCATACAGGGTTGCAAAAGCAACACCTTGAATCAGTATATATGTTTACTTTCTTCCCCTTGGACAATAACAGTGATCTGGTTAATGCTATTAATTCAGCCCTCTAAGCAGAAGTCCCAGAAGGTAAGGCTTGAGCCTCGACTACCGAGTGTTGGATCACTACCACATACCCCGCATATCGCACCCCATCTATTATGAAACTGCTACCATCAGTGAAGTATTTAACATCTGGGCTCTCCAAGGGGGTATCTCTGAGATCTTCCCACTCAAGAACACTTCGTCCACTGAATTTATGCAACAGTGGGGAAGGTCCTGCCAGCAGTGAGGCAACCTACCATCCTTCCAGTCAGGTTCCTCCACAGGCAGCAGGGTAGCTGGGTTCAAGGTATTTACAGTCTCCAGTGTTATCTGGGGATTTTTACACAGAAGCCCTTGATAGTTTAGCATTCTAGAGTTGGACAGCCAATGATGTCCTCTTTGCTCCGTTAAGGTGACTACAGCATGTGGCACCGGAACTATTAACTTCTGACCTAGGGCTAGCTCGTTGGCATCTTTTATAAGGATTGCAGTAGCTGCCAATGCCCTGAGGCAGTGGGGCCAACCTAAGGCCACCAAGTCCAGTCTTTTGGATAAGTATGTTACCGGCTGATGCCAAGAGCCCAACAACTGAGTTAAGACTCCGACTGCCATTCCCTTTCATGTATCCACATGCAAAAAGAAGGGCTTTTTTATATCTGGCAACCTTAGCGCCGGGGCTTGGATGAAAGCTTCCTTCATATCTTTGAAGGCCTTTTTCTGTTCCTTTTCCCATAGGAGGGGCTCTCTTTCTTTTCCTTTGGTAGCCTCATGTAAGGGCCTTGCTATAAGGGAGAAGTTTGGAATCCAGATTCGGCAGAATCCCGCCGCACCTAGAAATTCCCTGACCTGCTGCCTTGTAACTGGGGTGGGCAATGAACATGCAGCCTCCTTGCGTGCACTTCCAAGCCTGCCCTGGCCTTGGGATACCATGAATCTTAGATATCCAACCTCCTGAAAACAGACTTTTGCCTTGTCCTTGGACACTTTGTAAACTGGCCGGTATTCACCATTTGGCTTGTGCACAGGCAGCTGAGGAGTATTCCAGGAGGACTTGCATTTCACTACAATCCTATGTTCATAGAGCCGATTTAAATGTTTTGTTATACCATCAATTGCCTCTCTGGGTAGTGGGTATTGACAGACTCGTACCGGGGAACATAAGGGTTAAGCTCTATTACCACCGGGGGTCTGTTTGCAGCAAGTCCAGGGGGCTTGTCCTCAGCCCCTACACCTGGTACCTTGAAAAGCATTCCCCACATATTGTGTAGGTCCGGCTCCAGTAGCCTTCTGGCACACGGTTTATAGAACCACCATTTCTCAGTTCTTTAGACAGTCAGAGTCAAAACCATTGCATTAGACTTTCTAAACTATAATAGCATATTCTCTTTACATGTAAAGGAAATTTGTGCCTGCAGTTTCTGGAGTAAGTCTCTTTTCAACAAGGGCACTGGACAATTTGGCATATATAGAAACTCATGCTGCACTTTTTGTCCCCCAATAACACATCTCCTGGATTTGCAAAATGACCTCTTTGGCCCCAGTAGCCCCTACAATAGTAGCACAGTTCTTTGTGGGGGGACTAATTGGTGAGTTACCACAGAGAAATCAGCACCAGTATCGACCAAAAAATCCATTAATCGGCGGCCTACTTCCATAGAGACTATAGGCTCCCCAGGACCTAAAAGGATGGAGCCTGGTCTGTCTCAGTTCTCTAAATTCTCAGCCACCCCTAAGCCGCTCAGATCAGGATCTGCCTTTGAAGCACCACAACTAGCAACCGAACGCTGAACTCAGGTGTTAGACCATTGACCATTTTCCTTATTCTTTTGACATTTATCCTTCTAGTGTCCTTTCCTTTTGCACTGTGCACATTAATCTCTCTCTAGCCTCTGCCAGCTTTCAAACTCCTGTCCAGCTTAGCCTTTTCCACAACTGTGTTCACGCCCGCATCCATGCCTCCCTGCAAAGCCAGCTTCTCTTCCTGTAAGGGCTGCTGCTAGTAAATTAGCCTTTCTTAAGCATCCGATCAGCTTTCTTTTTTGCCTCTTGATCTCAGTTAATGTACACCTTGGTAGCCACCTTAATAAGCTGAGTAGCATTCATGCCTACGGAGCTTCTAACTTCTGCAATTTATGCCTGATAGCTCCTCGGGCCTGTCTGGCAAATGCTGTATCCACTATGCGCTGATTTTCGGCAGCTTTAGGGTTAAACGGAGTGTACACCCAAAATGCCTCACAAAGTCTTTTTTAAAACTGGTTGGTGCTTTTATCTGCACCCTGGAGCACCTCTGAGATTTTTTTTATATTGGTTGCCTTTTTCTTTTACCATCCTTTAGCCTTTGGCAGAAGTGCTTCTCGGCACTTTTGTAGGGGTTGAAGCTGGACTGCATCATCTGGGTCCTAGTGGTTTGTCCTCTTAAGAGGCATAAGCATAACTTGGGCACGATCAGACCTGAGACGGCCTGCCTGACTTTTCTAGCCTTTCACTTTAACTTCCCAGAGCTCTAACTTTTTCTTCTCGGGTGAGACCAGGAGGCTGTATTTCTTTGAACTTAACTCCTTAGGGGCAGTTAGCCTTGGTAAAGCGGGGCGTAGATTGGAATGTAGGGAGGAGGGGTCTTTATTCCCTCCTGTGGTTCTTGCAAAACCAGTTTTCTCTTTCCTGAGACTTTTCTTTTGTCTCTATAGTTGCTGGCACAGCTGATTTTTACTTTCACTTTTGGCTTTTCCTTTTCACCTTTTACTTTTGGAGTTACAAGGCTCTGTGACTTTCCCTTTAACTCTGTAACTGCCAGCGCAGCCGGTTTCTCTCAGCGTGAGCTGCGAGCGTTCCACAATAAACTGCTAGGCAGGGCTGCATTCATTTAGCCATGAATCAATATAAAGACTAAGTCTGAATACCTGGCTGTCCTCCAACCCTAGTCATCACCATAAAACACATGGCCAATTTATCTATAGTGCCGTCAGCCAGCCATCCAACACTAAAAGAGGGCTATTCTAATTCACAGTATGTCCTTAACTTTTGAGCATCCAATTTCATCCCATAATCACCTCTAAATCCTTTTTAAAATTTTTTTTATCATGCACTCCAAAGGAGTTGGTTTTGATGCTTTTCCTCCCATTTCCTCCCTTGTGGCGCACTTTCACTCTCACTTTTACTCTCGGGTCCACCAGACTGGGTCCTATTACGGGAGTTTTGGATGCTGCTTAGCCAGGAACGTGCCTTCCCCTCTCACAGCCTGCCACAGCCGTGAAGCTGGTCTTATCAGCTGTATACAACGTCCTAGGTCTGGTTTCCCCTGTGCTTGCCTCCGAGCACACAGCCCATGTTAAGGGATCTGTGGCTCCCCATGTCACTCCCTGTGCTGGCCTCTCCCAAGACCGTCTCTTTCACACACTTTCACATACCTCCCCTGCCCCAGGACTCCTCATCGGACAAAAAGGGTATCTCCCATGTCCCAGGTGAGCCTAGTTAGGCTCCCACATTCACACACATACACACACCACTCCTACCCCAGGACTCCTCATTGGATGAAACGAGCCTCTTTCGTGTCCCAGGTAGGTTCACACGCACCTACACGTTCCCAGTTCACATGCACCCACACACTCCCAGTTGGGGTGGCAAACCTCTCTTGCCACCCTGCCAGCAAGCTCTTCCTTGCTGCACTTGCCGCTCTATCGGCCTATTTTCTCCTTTCCACCTTAATAGTGGGGACATGAGTTTCATCCAAATTGGCAGGCCATTGCTGCCACCCCCAGTCACTCTGGGTGCCCGAGAGGTGATCAAGCTCCCCTTTGTCCCTATGGGACCAGTTTCCTGACTTGGGCCTTTTCTCCTTACCGCGTTTCCTGAAGTGCTGGTATCATCCTGCAGCCCCATCTCCGGTTCCGTTGTGCTGCTGGGCAGGGCACCAGGTCGCAGGGAGAGCTGGTCTCCATCCGGGTGAAGCACTCCCATGGCACACCTTGAATGCCGGATCTCCCCCTGGTTCCGGGGCTCTGTCCTGCAGGCAAAGGAGACAGTATATCTGTTGTCTCCAATCCCCGTATGGGCCACCAGAAATGCAGCAGGATAATTAAAGAATCAGAGAGACCGAGGGGTTGAGGAGGAATTATTTCATTATTTAGGTGCACCAACCCAGTCGGATTAACATTTAAAGGACTGAGCCTTGAACAAAGAGTTAAGCTACCTTTCAAGCGTTTCGTGGGGCGAGGGGAGATCTGTGCACAGGGAAGCATACTATAGAAGCGAGAAAAAAGACAGTTAATTGAGGCATGCATTATATCATTTTTTACTTTTTAAGGAACAATGTGTTTTATGACTTGAGATGATCTGTCTAGTGACCTTGCAGCTGCACAGCTAGAGAAACAGTCTTCACAATGCCTGGGAAAGGGAGAGCTAAGGCTCACTAGCCACAGAAAAACAGGCAGTTAATTTTAAAGTACTCTAGTTCTTTCTCTTCTTCAGGGGGGATTGGGGTTTTTTTACATATAACTGAGTTTTTGCTTACACATTCTTTAATTTCTTTTAATTTCTGTTCCAGTATAGCTAAGTAAAACAGCAGCATTCCAGAACATCATTATACTACACAATTTTAGTCCATATGTAACCGAACGCAGGTGTGGATGCTTGCCGCTTGCAGAGTCCAATTAACAAGAGCAAGGTCTGGTAGAAAGAAAGTGATTTCATTATCCAAAGCTAGTAAAGGGACTGGGCGCGGTGGCTCACGCCTGTAATCCCAGCACTTCGGTGGGCTGAGGTAGGCCTCAGCATCCAGAATAGTGCCTGACACATAAAAAGCACTCAACGGAATGAATACATGAATAAACTATATAGAGTATAGAAAGAACATGCAATTACTTAGAATCAGATACCATAGAAGCAAACATTTGGGGAATAGGGGACAAACCTTTTGAAGTTTGAATGAAAGATGAGGACAAATAAAAGGCTCTACTGCCAAATGAGTAGCTGGTGGAGCAGAGGCTCTAATTACAGTTAGAGCCTGGTTTAACTGTGGTATATCCACACAAGGGAATACCATGGAGCCTTAAAAAGGAAGGTAATCCTGTGACAGGTTTAACTGTGGTATATCCACACAAAGGAATACCATGGAGCCTTAAAAAGGAAGGTAATCCTGTGACAGGTTTAACTGTGGTATATACACACAAGGGAATACTATGGAGTCTTAAAAAGGAAGGTAATCCTGTGACATGCTACATGAGTGGACTTTGAGGACCTTATGCTGAGTGAAATAAGCCAGTCACAAAAGGACAAATTGTGTGGAGGCTGGTCTCAAACCCCTGGGCTCAAGCCATCCTCCTGTTTCAGTCTCCCAAAGTGTTGGGATTACAGGCATGAACCAGTGCAACCATTTTCAAATGTACAGTTTAGTAAGATACATTCACATTATTGTTCAACCAATCTCGAGAAGACTTTTCATCTTTGAAAACGAAAATTGTATCCATGAAACAACTCCTCCCCAAATCCCCGGCCCCAAGCCCCTGGCAGCCATCATTCTACTTTCTGTCTCTATGAGCGTGACTACTCTAGGTCCCTCATGTCAGTGGAATCCTACAGAATTTGTCCTTTTGTGATGGGTCCTCAAGGTCCACCTGTGTGGTAGCATGTTACAGGATTGCTTTCCCTTTTAAGGCTGCATAGTATTCCTTTGTACGTATATACAAATTTATCTGTATTTTGTTTATCCATTTACCCATCAATGGACATTTGAGTTGCTTCCACCTTCTGGCTATTGTGATTAATGCTGCTATGAACATGAATATACAGATATTTCTCCAAGCCCCTGCCTTTTTTTTTTTTTTTTTTTTTTTTGAGATAGAGTCTTGCTCTGTTGCTAGGCAGGAGTGCAGTGGCTTGATCTTGGCTCACTGCAACCTCTGCCTCCCAGGTTCAAGCGATTCTCCTGCCTCAGCCTCCCAAGTAGCTAGGACTGCAGATGTGCGCCACCATGCCCAGCTAAGTTTTGTATTTTAGTAGAGATGGGGTTTCACCATGTTGGCCAGGATGGTCTTGATCTCTTGACCTCGTGATCCGCCCACCTCGGCCTCCCAAAGTGCTGGGATTACAGACATAAGCCACGGCGCCCAGCCCCACTGCTTTCAGTTCTTTTGGGTATATGCCCAGAAGTGGAATTGCTGGCTCATAGGGTAATTCTATGTTTAATTTTTCAGGAACTGCCATGCTGTTTTCTATAGCAGCTGCACCATTTTACATCTCTACAAACAGCACAAAAGAATTTCCATTTCCCCACATCCTCACCAACCCTTGCTATTTTCTGTTCTTTTGATAGTAACCATACTAATGGATTAATGGATGTGAAGTAGTATCTCATTGTGGTTTTGATTTGCGTCTCCCTAATGATTAGTAATGTTGAACTCTTTTCCTGTGCTTATTGGCCATCTTCTTTGGAGATGAAGATATTCAAATTATTTGCCTTTTTTTTTTTTTTTTTTTTTTTTTTTTTGAGACAGAGTCTTGCTCTGTCCACCAGGCTGGAGTGCAGTGGTGTGATCTTGGCTCACTGCAAGCTCCGCCTCCTGGGTTCACACCATTCTCCTGCCTCAGCCTCCCAAGTAGCTGGGACTACAGGTGCCCGCCACCATGCCCAGCTAATTTTTAAATATTTTTTGTAGATACAGGGTTTCACCATGTTAGCCTGGATGATCTCAATCTCCTGACCTCGTGATCCACCTGCCTCAGCCTCCCAAAGTACTGGGATTACAGGTGTGAGCCACCATGCCCGGCCTATTTGCCCATTTTTAAATGGGGGTTTTCTGGGTGTGAATTTTAGTTCTTTATATATTCTGAATATTAACCCATTGTCAGATATATGATTTGCAAATATTTTCTGCCATTCCATAGGCTACCTTTTTACTGTTAATTGTGCCCTTTGATGCAGTTTTTAATTTTGATGAAATCCAGTTTAATCTATTTTTTCCTTTGTTGCCTATGCTCTTGGTGCCATATCCAAGAAATCGTTGCCAAATCTAATGTCATGTATTTTCCCCCATGTTTTAAGTGTTTATAAAACTATAAGTTTTAGCTTTTATCTTTCTTTAGGTCTTTCATCCGTTTGAGTTCATTTTTGTATAGGGTGTAAGGTAAGGGTCCAACTTCATTATTTTGCATGTGGATATCCAGTTTCCCCAACACCATTTGCTGAAAAGACTGTCCTTTCCCCAGTGAATGGTCTTGGCACTGTTTTTGGCACTGTTGTCAAAAAGCATCTGATGGCCGGGTGCGGTGGCTCAAGCCTGTAATCCCAGCACTTTGGGAGGCCAAGACGGGCGGATCACGAGGTCAGGAGATCAAGACCATCCTGGCTAACCCGGTGAAACCCCGTCTCTACTAAAAAATACAAATATCTAGCCGGGCGAGGTGGCGGGCGCCTGTAGTCCCAGCTACTCGGGAGTCTCGAGGCAGGAGAATGGCGTGAACCCGGGAGGTGGAGCTTGCAGTGAGCTGAGATCCAGCCACTGCACTCCAGCCTGGGCGACAGAGCAAAACTCCGCCTCAAAAAAAAAAAAAAAAAAAAAAAAAAAAAGCATCTGATGGCCGAGTGCAGTGGCTCACACCTGTAATCCCAGCACTTTGGGAGACAGAGGCGGGTGGATCCCTTGAGGCCAGGAGTTCAAGACCATGTTGGCCTGGCCACATGGTGAAACCCTGTCTCTACTAAAAATACAAAAAAATTTAGCCAGGCATGGTGATGCACGCCTGTAGTCCCAGCTACTCGGGAGGCTGAGGCAGTAGAATTGCTTGAACCTGGGAGGCAGAGGTTGCAGTGAGCCGAGATCGCTCCACTGCACTCCAGCCTGGGTGACAGAGCAAGACTGTGTCCCAACTCCCACCCCACCCCAAAACAAAACAAAAAAAAAGCATTTGACTATATATGTGAGGATTTATTTCTAGCCTTAAAACAAACAAATCATTAACTCCAGACTTTATTCAGATTTCACCAGTTTTTCCATGAATGTCCTTTTTCTGTTTCAGAATCCAGTCCAGGATATTACATCACATTTAGTTGTCATGTCTCCTTAGCCTCCACTGATCTACGACAAATTCTCAGCATTTTCTTTTTATGACCTTGATAGTTTCGAGTATTGGTCAAGCATTTCATAGACTGTCCCTCAGTTTGGGTTTGCCTGTTTTCTCATGATTCGACTGGATTATGGATATTTGGAAAGAATACGACAGAGGTGAAGTGTACCTTGATTACATCTTAGGAGGCATGTGCATCCACATGGCAGCACTGATGATGTTAACCTTGATCGCCTGGTTAAGCTGCAGTTTGCCGTTTCTCCACTGTAAGGCTGCCTTTTTCCCTTTCCATACAGTATTTACTGGAGTTGAGTCACTAAGTCCAGCCCACACTCAAAGGGGATGGGTATGCTCCACCTCCTGGAGTCCGGAGTATCTATGAGTATTATTTGGAATTCTTCAGTAAGGAAGATGTGTCTCTTTTCCCTTCCCTTAGCTGTTTTAGAGACTATTTTTACCTCGTCTGTAGGCATCCTACTTAGTTTTGCTTGTTTTTGAAACTTTCCTGTCAATGATCATGAGTTATTTACAATATTTTGCTATTAAGAGCAATGCAGCTGTGAGCAGGCTTGTCCATATTTCCTGGACTAATGTGCACGTTCTCTTAGGGAGTACGCCTAAGAGCGGAAATGATGGGTCACAGACCTTGTGTCTTGTATTCAGACGTACAAGAAAATGCCAGACTGGTTTTTGTTTGTTTGTTTTTTGAGACAGAGTCTCACTCTGTCGCCCAGGCTGGAGTGCAGTGGCGTGATCTCGGCTCACTGCAAGCTCCGCCTCCTGGGTTCCATTCTCCTGCCTCAGACTTCCGAGTAGCTGGGACTACAGGCGCCCGCCACCATGCCCAGCTAATTTTTTTTTTTTTTTTTTTTTAGTAGAGACAGGGTTTCACAGTGTTAGCCAGGATGGTCTCGATCTCCTGACCTCATGATCTGCCTGCCCTGAGCTCCCAGAGTCCTGGGATTACAGGTGTGGGCCACCGCGCCCGGCCCAATTGCCAGACTGTTTTTCAAAGTGGTTTTGCCAATTTGCATTCTCACTAGCAGCATATAAAGTTCTAATTGGTCCACATCCAAGACCAACAGTGGTATTCTCAGTCTTGTTAATTTTTGCCAGTCTGGTAGGTGTATCTCATTATGATCTTAATTTGTTTTTCCTCATTACTATTGTGCATCTTGTTATTTACCATTTGCATATCATTTTCTAAGAATTGTGTGTTAAGATCTTTTGCCTTTTTTTTTTTTGAGATGGAGTCTCGCTCTTCGCCAAGAGCTGGAGTGCAGTGGTGCAATCTCGGCTCACTGTTAACCTCTGCCTCCTGGGTTCAAGCGATTCTCCTGCCTCAGCCTCCTGAGTAGCTGGGATTACAGGCACACGCCACCATGCCCGGCTATTTTTTGTATTTTTAGTAGAGACGGGGTTTCACCATGTTGGTCAGGCTGGTCTCGCACTCCTGACCTCATGATCTGCCCGCCTCAGCCTCCCAAAGTGCTGGGATTACAGGCGTGAGCCACCGCGCCTGGCCAAGTGGTCTTTACTCTTATTGATGTGTAGGAATTATTTATATATCCTGGATTCTTTTAAAGCTGTATCTACCATATTTGTTCCACTTTTAGCTTGTTTATCCACCACTCTGTATCATCACATGAAGAACAAAAGTTCTTATTTCAACACAGGGAAATTTATAGATCCTTCATAATTAGTATTTTCTTTTTCTTTTTTTTTTTTTTTGAGACGGAGTCTCGCTCTGCCGCCCAGGCTGGAGTGCAGTGGCCGGATCTCAGCTCACTGCAAGCTCCGCCTCCCGGGTTCACGCCATTCTCCTGCCTCAGCCTCCCGAGTAGTTGGGACTACAGGCGCCCGCCACCGCGCCCGGCTAGTTTTTTGTATTTTTTAGTAGAGACGGGGTTTCACCGTGTTAGCCAGGATGGTCTCGATCTCCTGACCTCGTGATCCGCCCGTCTCGGCCTCCCAAAGTGCTGGGATTACAGGCTTGAGCCACCGCGCCCGGCCGTATAATTAGTATTTTCAATGTCTTCTTCAAGAAATCCCTCTCTCCCTTCAACCTAAGGTCACAGGGTTTTTTTTTTTCTAAATTTGAAGGTTTTTATATTTCATATTTATTTATACCTGATTTTTGTGATATATATGTAAATATAATGGTTTTCAGTATTAAAAACTCACATTATAATTACCAAGGAAACCATGGGGAAATGATGCTGAGACTCTCAAATATCCTTTCAAGAGGTTAGGACTAGGTCTCCTGCCCAATCTGTCCCTGAACTATAGGGTGATTTTGATTCCCAGTAACTTGCATAGACCTAAGCAACAGTCACACAAATGTCCATAAAAAGAAGCCAGTGTTTCTTTAAACACTAGCATCCATGTTATTTAATACAGGGTAGCTGTCAAAAATCTGAGAGGATTTAGAGTAGTTGATTAAAATAAAAAACTTCTTTACACTTTACTTAAATCCTGGCTAACAGAAGCATGTCCAAAAAGTGAAATAAATGTTCTGCAGTTTAGCAGTGGGGAAAACAAAAGGTGCTATTCTAAAACAGCCTGGACTGTCAGGCTGGATGCAGTGACTTACACCTGTAATCCCAGCACTTTGGGAGGCCGAGGCAGATGTATCACCTGAAGTCAGGAGTTCGAGACCAGCCTGGCCAACATGGCGAAACACCATCTCTACTAAAAATACAAAAATTAGCCAAGTGTGGTGGCGGGTGCCTGTAGTCCCAGCTACTCGGGAGGCTGAAGCAGAAGAATTGCTTGAACTGGGGAGGCGGAGCTTGCAGTTGAGCCGAGATTGCACCACTGCACTCCAGCCTGGGGGACAGAGGAAGACTCTGTCTCAAAAAATAAATAAAATAAGATAAATAAATAAACAGGATTGTCTTTATGTTCCCAGCAGTCTCACCATTGACCAAAATAGTTAGAAGTTATAAATGAGTAATTAAAGGCAAAATCTGGTCCTAAGCCAAGAGAACCACCCTCCCCTGACCAATAAAAAATGAGGTAAACAGTTCTCCAATATTTCTCCACTTTATTAAGTTGACCACCATATTTATGTATCTAAACATTTTTTATAAGTTTTCAGTGGTGTTTAGATTCTGAATTATTTTTCCACAATTAGGCACATTGGTTTGTATTTTATAGAGAACACTTATCTTTAGGACACAAATAAGAACAAGTATAATTTGCAAATATTACAAAGATGACTTCCAAATCTCAGCTGACCTCTTTCCCAACTGCAAACACTCATTTAGTCTTTAGTGACAACAGAGACCAAAAACAACCCCCCACATATCTGTGTGTGAGATTCTGGTGGCTTAGAAATCCCTGAAAGAGCAGTAAACTGATTATTGAAAAGCTCAGAACACTGGCAAGGCTTAAGTGCAAAGTATTTAACAGAAGGCCACAAGAATTGTTTTCCTAAGAGGAGCTAGGAACTATAAATGTCATTTAGTAATGCATTGAAATGGCATTGCCTAGTGTGAGTGTTGCACAGAAACTTCAGGTCACTTCTTCTGGATCTATTATTTTGGATAAGCTTCCACTATCATAGCATGGCCCTGTAAAGAAAACAAAGTCCAATTAGAGCAATGAATGGTGATGAATCCAGTTAGTACAGAGACAGCAGAGAACAATGAGAAAAGTACAGGCTTTGCAGTTAGATCCTGGCTCTGCCGTTCAATCACTGTGTGATCCTGGGAAACTTTGTAGTCAATCTAAACTGGAATTTCTTTTACAAAATGGGGCTCATAGTGTCTATCTCATAGAGTTTTTGTGGACATTACATAACATACAGTATAGTTGTGTATGTGTGTGTATATATACACAAACATATATATTTATATACATTCATATATACATGTATACATATGTGCATCAGGCTCTGTCTACTACAGAATCTAATTCCTAGTGATGCTCTACAAATGGATGCTGTTAAAATGAGAAATCCAGGGGCTTTTTTAGCTGTGTAAAACAAACATGATACAGCAAATACCAATAAAAGTAAGTTTCTAGAGGGGAAAACTGAGGCTCTGAAAGGTTAAGTGACTCACCCAAATCACAAAGCTATTAAGGTAATAGGGCCAGGATTTGAAACCAGGTCTAGATGATTCCAAAGGCTGGGCTTGTCCCTTCTTCGTGCCTCGCTCTGTTGCCCAGGCTGGAGTACAGTGGTGCGATCTCAGGTCACTGCAAGCTCCACCTCCTGGGTTCATGCCATTCTCCTGCCTCAGCCTCCCGAGTAGCTGGGACTACAGGCGCCCGCCACCACGCCTGGCTAATTTTTTTTGTATTTTTAGTAGAGACAGGGTTTCACCATGTTAACCAGAATGGTCTCAATCTCCTGACCTCATGATCCACCAGCCTCGGCCTCCCAAAGTGCTGGTATTACAGGCATGAACCACCGCGCCCGGCCAGAAGTAGAATGTATTTTATCCAGCACTATACACAGTGCTATGTACTAGCTATGTCCTTAGTTTAGATGAGTCTAAATCCTAGCATATAGTTTTTAGACACCCTGTCTCTAAAAAACAAAAAAGTAAATAAAAGAAACTATTATTTACAAAGTGCCAAGTTGAGCACTGTGCAGGTTTAAAGATTTGCTATGTGGTCTTTGTCCTCAATCAAGTATACACTGGAGTTCAAAACAAACTATTAGGTACTTTGGGTTTTTTTGCTTGTTTGTTTGGTTTTCTTTTTTTGAAACAGGGTCTCCCTCTGTTACCCAGGCTGGAGTGCAGTGGCCTGAACACGGCTCACTGCAGCCTCAACCTCCTAGGCTCAGGTGACACTTCCACCTCAGCCTCCCAAGTAGCTGGGACTACAGACATGCACCAACACGCCCAGCTAGTTTTTGTATTTTTAGTAGACATGGGGTTTTGCCATGTGGTCCAGGATGGTCTTGAACTCCTGAGCTCAAGCAATCTGCCCACCTCAGCCACCCAAAGTGCTGGGATTACAGGCATGAGCTACCACATCCGGCATGTAAAGTACGCTGAAAAGGCACAAGCATACAAAAAAGCAGGGATAGGAAGGTTTGACTGACTTGGGGGTTGTCCTGAAAGAATTCGTAATAAGGTAGAATACTCCTCTCTCGCTTGCTTATTTTATTATTTATTTACTTTAATTTCTTTATTTGCTTTTTGAGACAAGGTCTCACTCTGTCACCCAGGCTAAAGTGCAGTGGCGTGAATATAGCTCACTGCAGCCTCAACATCCCGGTCTCAAGCAATCAGCTCACCTCAGCCTCCCGAGTAGCTGGGACCACAGGTGCAGGCCATCACACCTGGCTAATTTTTGTATTTTTGGTAGAGATGAGGTTTTGCCATGTTGCCCAGGCTGGTCTCGAATTCCTGGGTTCAAGCTACCCACCTGCCTCAGCCTCCCACAGTGCTGGGACTACAGGCATGAGCCACCGTGCCCAGCCCTCTCAAGCTTGATTTTAAACACACAGTTTTCATGTTCCATGTTTTTTCTTGCTCTAGATCAGATTTGGCAACACCTAGAGATACTTTTGGTCATGCCAATTGTGTGTACATGGGGCAGAGGTGGGGAGGAGCTTGTTGTTACTGCTATCTGGTGGGTAGAGGCCATGCTAAACACCCTACAACACACAGCACAGCCCCTCACAACAAAGAATTGTTTAGCCCAAAATGTCAGTGCCAAAGTTGAGAAACCCTGCTCTAGATTCACCATGATAGATTTCTCCTGTCTCCAATCATGTTGGTATTACTCACATGGCTCTTGATCAAACAATGTCAAGTTTAATCTAGTTTCTCAGATGCATCTTATCTTCTCTCTTCACTATACTATAAACTTCTAGAAGGTGCTAGGTATCATTCTTTGTTCATCCGTAAAAGCATCCAGTATTGTCTCATTTATACTCTACATGCTAGATAAAGAATTATGGAACACATACTCAAATCTGCAGACATTACCCTATGTGGATTACGCACTAAGCTCATGAGTAATGTGTACAAGTTATCTCCCTGGTAGAAGTCTGGCATGGAGAGAGAGAGGGGTAGCTCAAGTCTTAATGGACCATGGTTTTCTGTAGATGAAGTTACACAGATTAAAAAACATTTCTGATCATAAAGTCCAAAATGTTCCAACTGATAAATAACTGACCCCTTGGTTGCTGCAAAGTCTCTGATGAAAATTCATGAAAAAGGGCTTTTAAATGTAAGATTTATTTTATTTATTTTTGAGACAGAGTCCCTCTCTGTCACCCAGGCTGGAGTGCAGTGGCGCCATCTCAGCTCATTGCAACCTACACCTCCCGGGTTCAAGTGATTCCCCTGCCTCAGCCTCCCGAGTAGCTGGAATTATAGGTGCATACCACCATGCTAGGCTAATTTTTGTAATTTTAGTAGAGGCAAGGTTTCACCACGTTGGCCAGGCTGGTCTTGAACTCCTGACCTCAAGTGATCCACCCGCCTCAATCTCCCAAAGTGTTGGGATTACAGGTGTGAGCCACTGCGCCCGGCCTGTTTATGCTTTTAAATATTTATTCATTTTGATCAGGAACAGGAAGTTTCTGTAATCTAGAGGAAGATAAAATCTGTTCACATTGTAATTAAAAAAAAAAAAAAACAGGGCAGGCACAGTGGCTCATGTCTGTAATCCCAGCACTTTGGGAGGCTGAGGCAGGCGAATCACCTGAGATCAGGAGTTCGAGACCAGCCTGGCCAATACGGTGAAACCCCATCTCTACTAAAAACACAAAAAAATTACCTGGGCTTGGTGGTGAGTGCCTGTAATCCCAGCTACTCAGGAGGCTGAGACAGGAGAATTGCTTGAACCTGGGAGGCAGAGATTGCAGTGAGGCAAGATGGCGCCACTGCACTCCAGCCTGGGGGACAGAGCAAGACTCTGTCTCAAAAAACAAACAAACAAAAAACAAACTACGATCTTCCTTTTGGATTTTATTCCTAGAGTGAGATGCTACAGCAGTCAGGAAGTTGGGTCTGTAATGCAAGCGAAGTAGAAAGGAAAAAAATCTGTCAACAATATACTTCCCCAGCTGAACAGCAGTAAGTTATCCAGAAGTAAATTAACTCCCCAGTTAAGGTATAATTCAGTTCTCTAGAAAGACAGTTTCTCTCTTGGAGAGATTTCATAAAGTCTTAACAGTGACTAGATAAATAAAAGTTTATTATTAAAGAAGAAAATATACCAAGATGTTAATAATGATAATGTCTGATGGGGAGATTATAGATGACTCTAACTTTTTCCATACACTTTTCATATATTCCACAATTTTCATAATCAGCATATATTTATAAGTAAAAAATAAACATTATATTCGGGAAAAATAGCTTGGGTTTAAATAGCAGTTTCCTTCCAAAGAATTACCAGAATTATGGCAGGGCATGGTGGCTCATGCCTATAATCACAGCACTTTGGGAGGTCAAGGTGGGTGGATCACTTGAAGTCTGGAATTCAAGACCAGCCTGGCTAACATGGCGAAAACTTGTCTCTACTAAAAATACAAAAATTAACTGCACACAGTGGTGCACGCCTGTAATCTAAACTACTCGGGAGGCTGAGGCACGAGAATCACCTGAATCCGGGAAGTGGCGGTTGCAGTGAGCTAAGATATGACCACTGCATTCTAACCTGGGCAACAGAGCAAGACTCTGTCTCAAAAAAAAAAAAAACCCAAAAAACAAAAAGTATTATCAGAATTAAAGCTGTTATCTCTCCCCACTCCCCACCCCCATGTCATCAAAAATATTGCTTTAAGAAGGTTTCAAACTAAATCATACATTCTAGTCATTCCAAGAAAATGACTCTCTGGAAGTTCCTATGACACCACTGAAACGTACCTGCCCTCCAGCTGCGCAGGCAGCCACTAAGCCATACTGGCCTCCTTCTTTCCGTAATCTGTTGGCAGCTGCCATGACCAACCTGCAGCCGGTGGCTCCAAATGGGTGTCCCAGGGACAGAGATCCACCCCAGTTATTAAACTTCTCCAAAGGAGGCAATCCAACCTGGCTCCCACAAAGACACAAATGTAAAGATAAGTTTACTTAAGATCAGAATCAAGCCAGGCTCTTAGTACTATGAAGTAAGAGGGATAAAGGAAAATACCGAACATCAGACATATTACAAATAATTTTACTGCAAAAGAAAGTAAGTCTAGGTCAATATTAAAAGTCAGGAGTCCATTTATTTTTCATCTAATGCTAGAATGCAAGGAACAAAAGATAACACAGAATTTTAATTTTGCTAATTTCTATTTTTAAACTAAGAAATAAATATATTTAATGAAACAAGAATTTCTATCTTTACACTAAGAAATAAATATCTTTTTTTTTTTTTTTTTTTTGAGACAGAGTCTCACTCTGTCGCCCAGGCTGGATTTTGCTAATTTCTATTTTTAAACTAAGAAATAAATATATTTAATGAAACAAGAATTTCTATCTTTACACTAAGAAATAAATATCTTTTTTTTTTTTTTTTTTTGAGACAGAGTCTCACTCTGTCGCCCAGGCTGGAGTGCAGTGGCCGGATCTCAGCTCACTGCAAGCTCCGCCTCCCGGGTTCACGCCATTCTCCCGCGTAGCTGGGACTACAGGCGCCCGTCACCGCGCCCAGCTAATTTTTTGTATTTTTAGTAGAGACGGGGTTTCACCGTGTTAGCCAGGATGGTCTCGATCTCCTGACCTCGTGATCCGCCCGTCTTGGCCTCCCAAAGTCCTGGGATTACAGGCTTGAGCCACCGTGCCCGGCCAGAAATAAATATCTTTAATGAAAGACAAAATTCTTCAAAAGAAAGAGAAGCTTTTCCTTCATATTCTTAAGAACAGGTAACTAAGATCCAATTATTAACGTGCTTTGAAAATTCAAGCATTTTTTAAAATCAGAAACTCACCTTGGTTTTTCTACCCATGTAGTTTTCTGCAAACCAATCAGAATCCATGGCTTTAAAATTTGCCAAAATCTGACCCTGGAAGAGAAAATAACTGAATAAGAACCTTGTTATTCATGTTCCTCTACGCTTTCTTATGGGCACGGTTTGTGAAAGTTTAACAACTTGTAGGTATGGTTTAAAGTTGAGCAAATTGGACGGGCGCAGTGGCTTACATCTGTAATCCCAGCACTTTGGGAGGCTGAGGCGGGTGGATCATCTGAGGTCAGGAGTTCAAGACCAGCCTGACCAATATGGTGAAACCCCATCTCTATTAAAAATATTTTAAAAATGAGTCGGGCGTGGTACCAGGCACCTGCAATCCCAGCTACTCGAGAGGCTGAGACAAGAAAATTGCTTGAACCCAGAAGGCGGAGGTTGCAGTGAGCTGAAATCACGCCACTGCACTCCAGAGGGGGCAAGAGAGTAAGACTCTGTCTCAAAAAAAAAAAAATAAAGTTGAACAAATCTTTGTATCAGTTTTCAATGAGAATTTCCTAAAGAAACAATTTGGTATGTTCTCCAACACCGTATGGCCCTTCCTTCCCTCCCCTCAGGCACCTCCCAGCAGTGTGAGTCAGTACTTAAAATATATAGGTCCACTCCTGCTCTACTCACATCATAAACCATGCCTTGCTCTCTCCCACAAATATGGACGACATTTTTTATGACTATAGTCCCTTCATATGTGTCTTTCAAATGACTTACCGAGAAAGCTTCATGAAATTCAAAAGCATCAATATCATTCATGGTTAATCCTGCCTTTTCTAGAACTTTTGGAGTAGCATATGTTGGCCTGAAAAGAAAAAATAAGTAATATCTTAAAACTTTAATTTTTAAACTAAGAGCTTCTTCATATTCCCCAAACTGAGTTTAACATAGGTACTCTGTCTTTTCACTCATTCTTTGGTTTTTCTGTAATGATTAATTAAATGTTAAAGATAAAATAATGAAACTGTACAGACATGCCCTCTACCCTTATTATGTTGCAGAGTCAGAGAAATTGATAATAAATAAACAATGAGGGATAAGGACAAGCTAATAACATGAAGAACTGAAGAACAGAGTTCAAAGAGCAAGGCAAAGGAAAGGGCTTGACTGATGTGAACGTCACAGTGGAGGCCAGTGAGGCTACAGCCTTGTGAGGGAGCGGAACAGAGTCTAAACATGCGGAGGCTTTTATAAAAGGCTATATTACGAAGATTGTGTAGCAGGGTGTGTAGCCATATGAAAAAATGCCTACGATAACTTCATGAAAAAGAATGTAAGTTGTGTGTGTCCATATATATATGTAAAACTTAAAGGAAAAAAATGGAAAATAATCCAAAACTGTAAAATGATATACCAATGGAAAGGATTACTATTATTTTATTTATTTTTTTGAGACAGAGTCCCACTCTGTCGCCAAGGCTGGAGTACAGTGGCGCAATCCTGGCTCACAGCAAGCTCCGCCTCCCGGGTTCACACCATTCTCCTGCCTCAGCCTCCCGAGTAGCTGGGACTACAGGCGCCCGCCACCACACCCGGCTAATTTTTTTGTATTTTTAGTAGAGACAGGGCTTCACCGTGTTAGCCAGGATGGTCTCAATCTCCTGACCTTGTGATCTGCCCACCTTGGCCTCCCAAAGTGCTGGGATTACAGGTGTGAGCGACTGTGCCTGGCCAGATTACTATTATTTAAAAAAAAAAAAAAAAAAAAACCACCACATAAACCAATTATGAACTCAGGGCTTAATATACTCTCAAACCAGTGTAATAAATAAATAAATAATAAACCAGTGTTAACCATTTATTAACCAGTATAATAAAACGTGGGCAATCAAATATTTGTGATTATAGTCCAAGGATACAAACAGCTACCTACCCGAGTAACAGTTGATCTTTTGGATCCTGAGACACATACATAAAATCCCTAGGTAAAAAAATAGAGAGGTGAGCTCTGGTAATAAAGAAATCAGAGATGATTCATGTGAACATTTACTTTACCTCAAATATGCCTTCGGCTTATAACCCATGGCCAAAGCCTTTTCCTCTGCCATAATCAACATTGCAGATGCGCCATCAGTCTGAAATGTTAACCAGCACAATGTTAAAATTCTTCAGCCTATCTGGAGGTCTTTCTCCAGCCAGCTTATATGTTCTGTACCTGAATCTATTAACTCATTAGACTTATACAGTGATTCTGTATAACACTTACTTCACTGTATCCATCATTAAATCATAATTCAAACATACACACACAGACTAATTTTTGGAGGATGAGGGTAGAGAAGGCTGTTCAAAAGTATCATAATAATCAAAATGAATCAACAGAAGAGTAACTTTAGAAATAAATGCTCATGGCCAGGCGTGGTGGCTCATGCCTATAATCCCAACACTCTGGGAGGCTGAGGTGGGCAGATCATGAGGCAGGTGATCGAGACCAACCTGGCTAACACGGTAAACCACATCTCTACTAAAAATACAAAAACTTAGCCAGATGTGGTGGCACACACCTGTAGTCCCAGCTACTCGGGAGGCTGAGGCAGGAGAATCACTTGAACCCGGGAGGTGGAGGTTGCAGTGAGCTGTGATCGCCCCACTGCACTCCAGCCTGGGTGACAGAGCGAGACTCTGTCTCAAAAAAAAAAAAAAAAAAAAGAAAGAAAGAAAAAGAAAAAAAGAAAGAAGTGCTCATAATAAATACTTATTTAAGCCAAAGCTTTTAGTTTTTGGCACAAAATATTAACCAAAATAAACATATCTCTTATTTATTTTTACATTTTCTGGGCTGTTTCTCAGCTGCTTTCTGCCCATGGCTTATAGGTCATTTTATTCTACTTATATATTCTATAACGAGCAAACCAATGGGAGAACCAGCTGAGGACATTAGAACCACAATCTTCCCTCTTTGGATACACCCCGTACATTTCTTCCCAAGTGACAACCAAGAAGCTGGAGGACAAAGAAGTACTACTGAAAAAACGTCCTTACCATACTTTGAAAAAGAAAAGCTCCCCCAAAAAGTCCAGAATTCCAAAGAAAAGGAAACTATTTTTCATCATTTGTAAAATCAAAATAAGTTCTACCATATTCTGTCATATTTTTATAACTCGGCAACCCTGAAGAGACTGTGTAGCCACCAACAGGGTGTCCATAAAGTCTGGAGGCACAGGTGACCATTTGGAATAAATGGTTTACAGACATTACATTAATAACAGGTTCAGTGTGCCATTGTGCAAAATTGCAATGAATGTGGGGCATTAATACAGTCCCCAAAATCCATGTATTGTGATGTGTCACCTCTGATGATTTGTCTCTGATTCTCACTAAATAAACCTGAACCTTTAGCATACCCTGGAAGTAATCAAAAGGATGCAGATCTGACATGTGTACTCCATGCCACATGGCTCTATCATCCAATTTGGTTTTGCAAATGACCAACCTAACTAGCTCTTCACCACCTGGGATTAACAGGGTGGTGTTCCACACTGTTGGGACTACTCTAGAGTCCACTCCCCTAGCCTATCAAGAGCAGGCATTAGACATTTACCGTGGGCAAATATGTCAAACATCTGCCTATGTTTTCAAGACTTTATGGCCAGGTAGGAGAGTTACATTGTAAAAGAAACTTTGACCAGATGGCCTATATCCAAAAGACTATATCCAAGGTGGTAAGAGAAGAGAAATCACATCTTACAAGCAGCAGCAGAATCAATAAAGATGTTTAACTGAGGAGTCAGAAAAGCAAGGAAGGATATGAAGCTACATGTTCATAAGTTAAAACACACACACACACACACACACACACAAAACAAACAGTGGCAGATTTGTTCCATGATGCTTACAGGAAAATAATAATATTGGTGTCAGTGTAAAGCAGTTTTTTTTTTTTTGAGACGGAATCTTGCTCTGTCGCCCAGGCTGGAGTGCAGTGGCTCGATCTCAGCTCACTGCAAGCTCTGCCTCCCGGGTTCACGCCATTCTCCTGCCTCAGCCTCCCGAGTAGCTGGGACTACAGGCATCCGCCACCATGCCCGACTAATTTTTTTGTATTTTTAGTAGAGACGGGGTTTCACCGTGTTAGCTGGGATGGTCTCGATCTCCTGACCTCGTGATCCGTCCGTCTTGGACTCCCAAAGTGCTGGGATTAGAGGCATGAGCCACCGCACCCGGGCCTAGTAAAGCAGTTTTCTAACAATCAGAGCTGGAAGAGGTATCCTGTTAACTTTTCCTTGTCTTCTACGACTTCCCAGTTCATACCATATGCTCCAACCTAACTTTTCCCCCAAAGAACCCCTTGCTCTCATACTTCCTTGATTTTGCATTTGCTGTTCCCTGTACAGAATGCCTTTTTTTTTTTTTTTTTTGAGATGAGTTTCACTCTTGTTGCCCAGGCTGGAGTGCAATGGTGCAATCTCTGCGCCTCCCGGGTTCAAGCAACCTCTGCGCCTCCCGGGTTCAAGCAATTCTCTTGCCTCAGCCTCCCGAGTAGCTAGGATTACAGGCCATGTGCCACCACACCTGGCTAATTTTGTAGTTTTAGTAGAGATGGGGTTTCTCCATGTTGGCCAGGCTGGTCTCGAACTCTTGACCTCAGGTGATCTGCCTGCCTCAGCCTCCCAAAGTGCTGGGATTACAGGCGTGAGCCACTGTGCCTGGCCTGGAATGCCTTTTAAAATCCTTCCTGAGTTGGCTCTCACTTTTCCTTCAAGATTTGCTGCTCAAGTGTTACCTCTTCCAAGAAGACTCTCCGACTATCCCCCGATCTGTGTCAGGGGTTCGACCTAAGCCTAAGCCTATGCTTACAGCCATCACAGCATCTCACTATATTGCAATTGTCTATTCTTTTCATTTCCAGGGCCCACCATAAGCAATAGAAGTTTTCTGACTGATTAAGTGCCTGAAGAAAAGAGCTTTTGTAGCAGAATGGTGGCTGGATTAGGTGACTTCTTGGGTCTTAAAACCATGATTCCATTTTTTTTTATGACTCCACTTTCACATTAAAATGAATAACTATATTTTTACCCTCTATTCATAACATACACACAAAAATTTATATTAGGCTTTTCTACGGAGAGTACAGAAATAGAAAAGTCACTACTAAATACAAATAGCATTGACAGTTACCAAGAAAGAAGAATTTGCAGCTGTCACTGTGCCATAGGGCTTGATGAATGCAGGTTTTAGTTTGGCCATCTGCTCCAGTGAGGAAGGACGAATGCCATTATCTTTGGTAACTGTATCTTTTCCTATTAAAAAAATGATTTTTTTTTTACCTCTTTGGAACTATAAGCCTTATATATCTTCTCCAGAGAAATATGCTTTAAAAATTACAAAAACAAATAAAATATAAACCTTACCTATTCACTAGAAGGAAAGTGTTTTATAATTATCATATTATCAAATTTTAAACTAAAGTCTTAAAAGACAATTGGGAAATCATCTAAATGCTTTACTAAAAATAGGACATCCTATTTCTTAAGACATTCATTCACAGTTGGTTATTCTATACAGAAGTCAGACGATTCAGCAATTTTAAAAACAGGCATGTGTGTAAGAACTAAAATATATCAGCAAGATCTAAAAGGAGACTCTGTTTGTTTTTCTTTTTTTTTTTAAATTAGAGATGAAGTCTCACTCTGTTGACCAGGTTGGTCTTGAACTCCTGGCCTCAAGTGATCCTCCTGCCTCAGCCTCCCAAAGTGCTGAGATTAGTGCTCAGACCTTAAAAGGACACTCTTACAGAAACTTTAAAAAAAGTTTACCTATTGTTACAACATAAATCAAAATTTGCATCCATATTTAAGAATAAAGGTTGAATACTTTGGAAACAGAACCAACATACTTACTGAAAAATCACTTGGGATTTTTTTGAGTTTTAGGAGCAATTCAGAACTCCCTAATTAGTGTCATGAAGCATTTCATTTTACCTGGTACTCTGAAGGGTACGACATCAGAAAGGAGTCCCTCATCCTGTGCCTTCTTGGCCAGACTGTGAGAGCGCAGTGCGTATTCATCCTGTTCCAGCCGAGAAACAGCAAAGGCGGCGGCCAGTCGGTCTGCAGAGTGGCCCATGGTCTCACTGGTGGAGAACTCAGCAACCGCAGGAAGCTGGGAAAGGAGATATCCGAGAAGCAGGTACACTGTTAACAGGTATTATTCCAACACCTAGGATTGTTCTGTGTTATTTGGAAAAGTTAAAATCTATTTGTTTACCATTAATCAATCAAGACCAAGACAAGGGAAGTTCCTTGTGAGCAGAGGATCTCTAAAGAGGGCTCACAAATTAAAGTTTTCTACCCACTATGTTTTTTTTTCAACTTGACCAAATAACCCTTTCCTGTAACTACACAATCTACACCTACTATGGCATAGCAGAGTCCACACTGCCATACCTAATTCTAAATCTCTGCAGTGGGATGCCCTGCAAACACAAGCCTTACCTCAGGTGCTAGGAAATTCAATCGGAATTTAGAGATTAAAGACAGTCGCTGGCCCATAGATTTGGCCTTATTGAGATCAAGCATCAGTTTTCTCATTTTCCTTGAGTGACGAATAGGGATATCGGACATCAACTCAACACCACCTGCCACGATCACATCACACTGGCCAGAAGCAATCAAGCCAACGCCTACAGGGCACAGGTTATACTTCATGAATATCTTTTACAGAAAATAACATACCATTCTAATTTAAGCTTCTTGATTAAAAGGCTGAATAACAGTTATCAGCTTTGTACAACATCTGTAATTAAAGTTTTCAACTTTTCAGAAGAATTAAGGTAATTGTTTTAAATGACTAAAAACACATTCAACACGTTAGAGAAAAACAAGTTTCATTCCTGCCACATGGACATCAACTTCTAGAAATATGCATTGGACCAACTCTTGAACAAATCATTATTCCAAACCAGAACATCTTGCATATTTATACGCTCCCAGCTTTAGTTTTAAGAAATATTTTTTTATCCTATAAAGAGAATGTTAACTTCTGCTACAAAGCAGAGAAATTCCAGCTGTTAAAATGTAAGGCAGGCCCCCTCTCTCCTTACGGCCACTATTCTCTTTTTTTCTTTTTTGAGACGGAGTCTCGCTCTGTCTCCCAGGCTAGAGTGCAGTGGTGCGATCTTGGCTCACTGCAAGCTCTGCCTCCCGGGTTCACGCCATTCTCCTGCCTCAGCCTCCCAAGTAGCTGGGACTACAGGTGCCTACCACCATGACTGGCTAATTTTTTTTTGTATTTTTAGTAGAGACAGGGTTTCTCTGTGTTAGCCAGGATGTTCTCGATCTCCTGACCTCATGATCCGCCCACCTTGGCCTCCCAAAGTGTTGGGATTACAGGTGTGAGCCACCGCGCTGAGCCTATTCTGTGTCTCTAACCAGGAGTTGGTCACATGCTGCCTAGAGTGGTGAACACCCCCAGTCACGGGCATCATTCCCCGCCACATATGAGGTGGGCTGCCCACCTGGGCCTTGATGTTACTAGATGAGCATATGATTACTAAATCTTTCAGACTTCCTGTCTCTTCACACTACGGGCTGATGCTACAAAATACCCTGTAATTTTGTTAAAATTTGTTAGGGGAATTTTCAATGATTTATAAAAATGCCAAGGATGCGGGAAGAAAGTGAAGGAAAGAGCTGTGCCATCTAAAGCAATGATTTACAAGTATGGTAGTGGTGAAGGAAGGAAGACCATATCTTTGTGGGAAAATATCATATCTGAAGCACTAGGTTGAAAGCCTGGCAGGTTGTAAACTATTTACTCATGCTTCAGATGCTGAAGTACCTTCCTAGAGATATACTCCTCCATTTGATAATCCCTGCTGCAGCTAGCCACATTATTCACAGAGGAATCACGCCAATGGTAACATCCCTCAGGTATGGAGAGCAAAAAGAGAGGTTAACTATGGTTAGAACTCCCAAATTTTAAACCTGACCTTTCTTTTTAAAAAACACAAGTAGAGATCTGTGCTAATCTATCACTTCTGCTAAGAGTACTTTTTGGGATGAGCTTGGTGGCTCATGCCTGTAATCCCAGCACTTTGGAGGTTGAGGTAGAAGGATCACTTGAGGCCAGAGGTTTAAGACCAGCCTGGGCAACATGGCGAGATCCTGTCTCCACAGAAAACTGAAAAATTAGCTGGGTGTGGTGGAGTGCCTGTAGACCCAGCTACTTGGGATCCTAAGGCAGGAGGATCTCTTGAGCTCAAGAGTTTGAGCTTGCAGTAAGCTACGATGGTGCCACTGCACTCCAGCCCGAGTGACAGAGTGAGATTCTGTTTAAAAAAAAAAAAGTACATTTTTATAATCAAGTAAAAGACAAAGGAGGAAAATTAACATGTACTGTCTGCTTCCATTTAAACATACCTGTGGTCATGGCTTGGTTGGCAGAGATACAAGCCATGGTGACAGTGTGAGCAGGAGTCTTGTCAGAGAAGCCAGCTCCAAGGGCAGCCTTTAGGAAATAGTGAATGAAATGATCACTCTAAGGGAAGGGTATCATGTAAATGATGCTTTGAACACTAATCTTTATGGTCATCTGAAAAGGGTTTCAGTTTAAAATTCTCCAGAGCAATATTTAAAATAAAATTAAGCCTCTCACAGAAATGGTTTACTAATATTTAATCATGCCATTAATTGACAGGTATATGCAAAATTCCTGCTGGCTGGTTTCTAGTGCAGACACGAGGCTATAATACTCTTCTAACTCACCTAATTTCTTATCGATGCTTTGCTCAGGGCCTTCAAGGATATCAATATATAATTTGATTTTAACTTGTTTAATGTTCAAATATACTTAAAGGAACCTATTAAAGACAATTGGTGAAATGATGATGAAATATATTATGGGGTGGAGTCTTCACAATCTGTGTTATCAGGTCTCATGATCAGTCACAAAGCTTAGCATTTGGCAAAGCAAAAGTGATTAAACATGAAAATGATTTCTAAAGAACTGACCATTCATAAACAGAGTTCCCACTCGAGACCCTATTTGCTTTACACCTATCTTTCTGCTCACTGCCAGCTGTTCTCTCTTACTGAGCATCTGATACTTCGGTTAGCACACTGCAGACCCAATGCAAAGATGAACTAGAAAACTTGCCAACTATACAGAAGCTCAACTCAATGAAAGAAACTGGAGAATTGTCTGAGTTACAAGTGAGCCTGTGAACAAGTAAGGGTCAGACCAGTTAACAAGTGGCCAGGATGATGGCATAATAGGTGATACAGAGAGAATAATTTGTCATCTGAGCGGCTTTAAGAAAAACTGAGGTCATCATTAATCTTGTAAAAACGGCCTCTATTATAATGGCACAGTGAAAGTCAAACATGAAATGAGGACATCTATAATTTTATTATACTATTTATTGGGGGAAATTATGCTGCCAAAAACCAATCAATGTCTGATCCCATTTTTGTTTATGTAAATAATTAATGCATAGGTGCAACTGTAAAATACTTATTTTTATAATATTAAAGTTTTACTTTAGAAATAAAGCTTCCAGATTTCCCCCCACATACACACCCACACACTATTTACTATGAAATACTGGATCCCATTATAGGGAATTCATTTTTAGTACTCTTTTCCAAAACTAATTATCTTCAGAATGCAAACTCTCCTATAACTTTGTAAAATAAATGTTTCCAAAGTCTCAATTAGAGATTCAATGTCTCTTAACTGATTTTTACCTTTATACTTATTTACTTTTATGCTATTTACCATCATCTATAGAAACAGAAATGTGTTACAGTGATGTATCTGCAACATGACTTCATTCTGGTCTTTCCAGGTAGGCCTGATACTAAATGCCCAACCTGCTTTGTTGAGAACGTCTGCTGGGCACCTGCATATCAGCCTCTCATAATAAACCAATCCGAAAGGAAGAGAGATGTAAGTATCTCGGGGGGCAGGAGAGAAGAGCTCTGCAGCGGGGCAAGTGTAAAAGGGGCATTAGGTTGCAATGGCTTGATTCTCACAAGGGCCTTTCTAGTATGTGTTGCCCTTGGCCCTAGATGACTCTCAGGACTGAAGGAGCTTTAAATAGAGGTGGCTATTGGTGACCCTTGTCCACACACTTCTATTGAAAGTTTGAATAGCTCTCAGGGCACTAAGGGAAAAGGAGGAAGATGACTCTAAGTTGGAGAACAGGGAAATATGCTGAAGCTTTCTACAAAGTCAGGTTCACGGCAACACCAGAAGCCTTTTAGGACTGTTATTAATACAGGCAATAGAGCCTAAGAAATTCTTTGGCTGGAAATTATGTTAGCTTTTAGTTTGCAATACAGCTTTAAAGTGACATTCTCATAATGTATCCCCTCAACCCAGTCTTTCCATGCAGACACTGCAAAAATTACCTGGAGTATAATATAACTGGTATTAGAACAGGGCAGGCAGAGGGAATCTACCTCCTGTCAATCAATAGCTGAGATCTGCATATAGATGTAAAATTTCCAGGAAAAAATTCAGAGAAAAACATTATGGCTTTAGTTTTAGGAAAAAAAAGAACTGAATTACAGAGAAAATGGAAACGTGTTTATTTTTATTTATTTATTTATTTATTTATTTTTTGAGGAGGAGAAGGAAGAAAGAGTGGGATAAAAAACTGAGCAAGAGGAGAAAAGAGCAAAAAATTTTACTATTTACATCTTGAGTGCTCTTATAAAAGTCACTTGGTTATTTTCAGAATATGAAAGTTGAAAATGTATTATGAGCAGCTTGATGTATTCACAAAATTGTCATATTTGAAACATTCAGAAATGTCAAGGTTTAAGGAAAAACAAAAAATTTCAGAGGGGAAATAAAATCTCTTCCTGTTGTTAATTCCTTCCTGTCCCTCAACAGCACACAGTTGATCTTTGTCGGCTTCAGTCATGCCAGGCCTTCAGCAGTTTTAACATTTCTGACAGGTACAGAGGTGGAACAGAACAAATACTTTCAGTCCTGCTTATTTGCCCTTGTCTCTCAGTCGACAGTGATAGAAGTTATTAGCCTCACAACTATACTGAACTCAACAATATGGCAAGCACAGACCGGAACTAGGGAAAATGCTGAATACAACGAAATGTCCTTTTGGTGCCAATTTCATCCAAACAATCGCTTTCAAATTGAAACAGCCCAGAAGACGTGTTTGGACTTGCTGTCCTAGAAGTTCCAAGGCCTGTCATTATCTTGGTTGCCCAATCGACACTACATGGAGCTATGCCAACTAGGGCAAAAGTAAACCACTGTGAAATAGTTTTAAAAAAGCCAAACTGCCTTACGTGCCATCTAGTCGATGGGAACAAATGAGTAAGCAAGGCTACTTCCAGCTAACAAAAACCAAGTTATGAAATTAGTTCTCTGCAAAATGTTGAGATTTTAAATTAACTGGAAGCCATGATATCTAACATTACTAAAAATACTATCAACCGCATTGCTGATCTCTATTTTCCTAAGACAAGAGACAATGTCCTAAACCAGCTCAAATAATTTATTTGATTTACAGTAAAGTATGAATATATACTAATATAGTGTATGTCACTTGATTTATATTAGCATTCTTTTACATATTGTGTATGTCATTTGATTTATATTAGAATTCTTTTACATATTAAATAACACATTACCCAAGCTGTAAAATCACATTTTAGATCAAATGTAACTGAATAGATATTAAAGGCTTTTATAAAGTAACTTCTATTAATTGAAATTCAAAGTGATTCTACTATCACTCTTTAAACAACATAAAGTTTGTTTTACTCACCTCTCTAGCCACATTGCTTGTTTTTACTTCCTGAATAACTGTGCCAAAGATGATATAATCAACTACTTCCTTAGGGACACTGGTCCGATGCAACAAACCCCTGGAAGTAGAAATCCAGAGCAAAGAACATTTCACACATCAAGGCAGTGCCAGAGATCATCACACAAAACACTGTGCTCCTTAAAAAAGGTTAGCCTTGCCGGGCACGGTGGCTCACGCCTGTAATCCTAGCACTTTGGGAGGCCGAGATGGGTGGATCACAAAGTCAGGAGATTGAGACCATCCTGGCCAACGTGGTGAAACCCCTTCTCTACTAAAAATACAAAAAAAAATTAGCCGGGCGCGGTGGCGGGCGCCTGTAGTCCCAGCTACTCGGGAGGCTGAGGCAGGAGAATGGCGTGAACCCGGAAGGCGGAGCTTGCAGTAAGCTGAGATCTGGCCACTGCACTCCAGCCTGGGCGACAGAGTGAGACTCCATCTCCAAAACAACAACAACAACAACAACAAAAAGGTTAGCCTTGAATTTGAAAGGACAGAGACTGTATCTTTTCTTTAATTTGACAAGCATTTGGCACCTTCTCAAAGAAGAAATGAATGAAAGAGTGATTTTAAAGTCAACATTTGATGCTCAATTGGTAATGAGAAGTTAGAGAAGAATAAAAAATAATTTGGAATAGGATAAAATAGATAAGAAACCTATAAATTAATTAATGTTAGTAGAAACCAAAGTTCTCAGTAAAAAAGAGAGACAAATATTCAATCAAAGAGATAAAGTCTCCCTTCAAACTATTAAAAAAATAAATTAAAAAAAAGTTCTGGGTATGTTAAATTTTAGTTTGAAATATCAATATCAACAAATGATTGAAATAATATATACATTCTAGCTGTGCCCATGAATAGAAACTAGACACAATAACACTCCAGTAGGAATGAGCACTCCCTGAACCCAGACTTTTTTTTTGAGACAAGAGTTTCGCTCTTTCACCGAGGCTGGAGTGTACTGGCACAATCTCGGCTCACTGCAACCTCCACCTCCTGGGTTTAAGAGATTCTCCTGCCTCAGCCTCCCGAGTAGCTGGGGCTACAAGCGCCTGCCATGACGCCTGGCTAATTTTTGTATTTTTAGTAGAAACAGGGTTTCACCATGTTAGCCAGGCTTGTCTTGGACTCCTGACTGCAAGTGATCCACCAGCCTTGGCCTCCCAAAGTGCTGGGATTACAGGCGTGAGCCACTGCACCCAGCCCCAGACTAGGTTTCTAAATGCCATTCCCCATTAAACAGACAAAAGGTTTTTTAGGAAATGACTGATACCAGGTCCAAAGGAAAGTACAAAATGAATCTCCATCTTTTTTGTGCCAAAAGTAAGGAGCACTCAAAGATAAATGGGACGACATCAGCCAGGCACAGTGGCTCAAGCCTGTAATCCTAGCACTTTGGGAGGCCAAGGCAGGTGGATCACTTGAGGTCAGGACTTCGAGACCAGCCTGGCTAACATGGCAAAACTCCGTCTCTACTAAAAATACAAAAAAAAATTAGCTGGGCCTGGTGGCGTGTGCCTGTAATCCCAGCTACTCAGGAGGCTGAGGCAGGAGAATTGCTTGAACCTGGGAGGCGGAGGCTGCAGTGAGCAGAGATCGTGCCATTGCACTCCAACTTGGGCAACAAGAGTGAAACTCCGTGTCAAAGAAAAAAAAAAAGGATAAATGGGACCATATCAAAAACAGGAACATGGGGTATACACATTTGTCAAACTCATCAAACTATACACTTAAAATCTGTGCACTTTATTACATGCAAATTATATATCAACAACCAGTATTATACTAAAAAACAAAAGGCACACTGGAGTCAACTTGAAGGAGTGCCAGATAAAATGTGAAATAAGCTGAGCTTCAAAATGAGTAATGACTAAACTTGGCTATAATGAAATAAATAAATAAAAATCTGTAAGTCCTTATCAATTAAAAAAACTAAGAGGGTTAGATACATTGGCTCACGCCTATAGTTCCAGCTACTTGGGAGGCTTCGAGGTTACAGTGAGCTATGATCAAGCCACTGTACTCCAGCCTTGGACAGAGTGAGACTCCATCCAGAAAAAAATAAATCAAAAATTTAAAAAAAAATTTTTTTTTTTGAGACAAAGTCTTGCTCTATTGCCCTGCCTGGAGTATAGTAGTGGGATCATAGCTCATTGCAACTTTCAACTCCTGAGCCAAAGTAATTCTTGCTTGGTTAATTTTTAAAATTTTTTCGTAGAGATGGAGTCTTGCTATGTTGCTTAGGCTGGTCTCAAACTCCTGGGCTCAAAAGATCCTCCTACCTTGATCCTCCTGCCTTAGTTTCTCAAGTGCTGGGAATATAGGTGTGAGAAACCATGCCCAGCTGGTAGATGAGATTTTTTAAAGGAAAATATGCATACAGAGAAATGCAAAGCTCTAAGGAATAAAACTTGCAAAATGGCTTTCAAAAAGAGAAAGAGGGAGAGATCCAGTTTTTTTGTTTTTGTTTTGTTTTTTGTTTTTTTTGGGGGGGGGGTGTGTGTTTTGAGATGAAGTTTTACTCTCGTTGCCCAGGCTGGAGTGCAATGGCATGATCCTGGCTCACTGCAACCTCTGTCTCCCAGGTTCAAGGGATTCTCCTGCCTCAGCCTTCCAAGTAGCTGGGATTACAGGCATGCACCACTACGCCTGGCTAATTTTGTATTTTTAGTAGAGACGGTTTCTCCATGTTGGTCAGGCTGGTCTCAAACTCCTGACCTCAGGTGATCCACCCACCTCGGCCTCCCAAAGTGCTGGGACTACAGGCGTGAAACGCCGTGCATGGCCCAGTTTTTTTTTAAGGTAGAGAAGAGTCAGTCAGAATACAGAAGAAAAATCATAAAGGCATATTACTAAGAAGTCAATAGAAGACAGGTAAGTATAGCTTACAGTGTCAAGTACTATAAAGTACAAAGACAGAGGACTGAGAAAAGATCGGTACATTTAGCAATCACAAAACCATTATTAAGAGAAGGTTCTAAAGTATGGTTTAAGTAAAACAAAGGGAGAATGGAAATAATGATTATACAATTAGAGGAAACTGATAGTAAGGAAACAGAAACAACTGCCCTTTCACTCATGCTTGAAGTCTTGTAGGAAGAGAAGAAAAAAAAACAGAGTTAGAATGGACAGAAAGGTCAACTGAAGGGTTTCTCCAGACTAAGAAAGAGCTGTGGTTGGCTGAAGACACAAAGGCAAAGTGTCAATGGAAAATGAATGAGATAATGCCTTACATGTTACTTCATCCCAGAAACAGCAACACATTTCATGACTCTCACCAAATTATTCATCCAGCCCAATCTTATTTAACTGCATCTAATTTTAGATTTTTACTTGGTTTGCACATAAATCTTCAGGAGTCTTTTAGGATTCTTTTTTTTTTTTTTTTTTGAGACGGAGTCTCGCTCTGTCGCCCAGGCTGGAGTGCAGTGGCCGGATCTCAGCTCACTGCAAGCTCTGCCTCCCGGGTTTACTCCATTCTCCTGCCTCAGCCTCCTGAGTAGCTGGGACTACAGGCGCCCGCCACCTCGCCCGGCTAGTTTTTTGTATTTTTTAGTAGAGACGGGGTTTCACCAGGTTAGCCAGGATGGTCTCGATCTCCTGACCTCGTGATCCGCCCGTCTCGGCCTCCCAAAGTGCTGGGATTACAGGCTTGAGCCACCGCGCCCGGCTAGGATTCTTTCTAGGTAAATATCTACATAATCTGTTCAGCTACCCTTATACAAGTTCCTAAGGCAATCACCAAATATATGTATTGTGTTTAGGCTGATCAATCAAGTCCTGTGGCTAGCTAGGATAGCATTAAAATATACTGTCATGCTAAGACACTGTTAAGCCTGCAAAATAAAGATTGATGATATTCATAAGCTGCTTAAATTTGTGTAGTACAGATGGTGAAAATAAGAACAAATTGCTATTTTATGCATAAAAACTGGAGAAAGTGCCTTTAACGAAATAAGAACGGAAATGAAACCGCATTTACTTACGTAAGTGCTGCTCTAGCCAAATCATGTGGCATCAGGTCTTTATATCTGCGGAAAGAAAACAAATAATTTAAACCGAAACCCTAGAGCTTCAATGAAGTTTTCATTCTATTTGAAATACTCAGATATCATCTAACACATGCTGCTACAAACACACTTAACTTTACTATCCAAGGCAGTTCATCATTTCAAATGATGAAATAGTATGACTTTGCTATTTGTCATCCTTAAAAATCTAGCAAACCTTAACTCCTACTGAGCTTGCTAAGAATCAAACAAAAATGTTGTCCAATACCTTAATGCTCAGCATAACGCACACTAAATTTTCTTTAAAGTGAAGCCCCACCTTTGGGATCTCTTTTCCTTTAAACATTTTATTTTAAAAGTATATTATTTATTTATTTTGTAATGCCTACAGGGCTACAGGTGATGTATTACGACTTTTGAAGAAACTCTTTGCTTTTAAGTAACTTGAGATTTACCCAAGAATGGAAAGAGGCCGAGCATGGTGGCTCACACCTAGAATCCCAACACTTTGGGAGGCTGAGGTGATATGACTGCCTGAGGCCAGGAGTTCAAGACCAGCCTGGGTAACACAACAAACAAGACCCTGTCTCTACAAAAAATATTAAAAATTAGCCAGGCGTGGTGGCATGGATCTGTAGTCCTAGCTACTTGGGAGGCTGAGGTGAGAAGACTGCTTAAGGCCATGAATTTGAGGCTGCTAGGATCACGCCACTGCACTCCAGTCTGGGCAGCAGAGCAAGACCCTGTCTAAATAAATAAATAAGAATTGGAAAAAGAGAGAAGAGTTCCCTTTTTCCCCCTGCTTTTTTTTTTTTGAGACGGAGTTTCACTCTTGTTGTGCAATGGCACAATCTCGGCTCACTGCAACCTCCACCTCCCGGGTTCAAGCAATTCTCCTGCCTCAGCCTCCCAAATAGCTGGGATTACAGGCACCCACCACCATGCCCAGCTGATTTTTGTATTTTTAGTAGAAACGGGGTTTCACCATGTTGGTCAGGCTGGTCTTGAACTCCTGACCTCAGGTGATTCGCCTGCCTTGGCCTCCCAAAGTGCTGGGATTATAGACATGAGCCACCGTGCCCAGCCTTCTCCTGCTTTTTCTAATACTGACATCTTACATAACCATGATATACTTATTAAAACTAAGAAATGAACATCAGCACAATACTATTCACTAAACTACTAACTATCTGAATCTCACCAGTTGTTCCACTAATGTCCTTTTTCTGTTCCAGGATTCAATCCAAGATACCATGTTGCATTTAGTTGTTATACCTCCTTAGTCTCCTTCAATTTGTGACAGTTTCTCAGTCTTGTCTTTCATGACCCTGACACTTTTGAAGACTGGAGTTATGGATTTGGGGGAAGAATATCACAGAGGCAAACTGTATTTCTCTTAGCTTCATATCAGGGGGTATGTGATATCATTGACTTACTACCAGTGATGTCAACGTGATGATTTGGGTCAAGTGATGTCTGCCATTTACTCCACTATAAAGTTACTATTTTTTCCTTCCTTTACTCAATTTGTTAGAAGTGAGTCACTAAGTCTAGCTCACATTCAAGGGAAGAATTAAGTTCCACCTTCCAGTGGCAGGAATAACACAGACTTTGCTGACATATGTCGAAATCATCATAGTAATTGATAAATATTTTGGGGGAGATTCTTTGAGACTATGCAAATATTCTGTTTCTTCTTAACATTTCACCTAATTTTAGCAATCATTTGTAGATCTTGCAGCAAGTATTATGGGGTATTCTAACGGTTATTTATTTTTCCCATTCTTTATTTATTTTTATTTTTTGAGACAGGGTCTCTGTCACTCATACTGGAATGCAGTGGTGCAATCACAGGTCACTGCAGCCTCAAACTCATAGGCTCAAGCGATGCTCCCACTTCGGCCTCCCTTGTAGGTAGGACTACAGGTGTCTGCTACCACACCTGGCTACTTTTTCATTTTTAGTTTTTGCAGAGATGGAGTCTCACTTTGTCTATGCCAGTCTCAAACTCCTGGCCTCAAGCAATCCTCCTACCTCAGCCTCCCAAAGTGCTGGGATTACATGTGTGAACCACTGTATACAGTCCTCCTATATTTATTAATCGAAATTCTTCTGTAAGGAAGACTTGTTCCTTCTCATTTACTCTTTTTTTTTTTTTTTGAGACAGAGTCTCACTCTGTTGCCCAGGCTGGAGTGCACTGGCACAATCTTGGCTCACGGCAACCTCCACCTCCCAGGTTCAAATGATTCTCCTGCCTCAGCCTCCTGAGTAGCTGGTATTACAGGCGCCCGCCACCACACCCAGCTAATTTTTGTATTTTTAGTAGAGACAGGGTTTCACCATGTTGGCCAGGTTGGTCTCTAACTCCTGATCTCAAGTGATCCACCCACCTTGGCCTCCCAAAGTGTATTTATTTATTCATTTATTTATATCAGATTAGATTCATAGGCATTTGTTTTATTCTTTGGGTTATGTTCCAATACTATTGTGATTTATTTTATTGCTCAAATCATTGCAGTTTTGGTGACTGGTAGTTCCTGCAGGTCAGACCTGCGTCTTTTTGACATGGCCCCCCAAACCCCACTTTTTTTTTTTTTTGAGACGGAGTTTCGCTCTTTTTGCCCAGGCTGGAGTGCAATGGCACTATCTCAGCTCACCACAACCTCCACCTCCTGGGTTCAAGCAATTCTCCTGCCTCAGCCTTCCGAGTAGCTGGGATTACAGGCATGCGCCACCATGCCTGGCTAATTTTGTATTTTTAGTAGAGATGGGGTTTCTCCATGTTGGTCAGGCTGGTCTTGAACTCCCAACCTCAGGTGATCCACCCGCCTCGGCCTCCCAAAGTGCTGGGATTACAGGAGTGAGCCACCGCGCCCGGCCCCCACTTTTTTTTATAAGTACTTCTTTGCTTTCCAGCACTACAAGGTCTCCTTGCTCATCCTGTCTTTTCTCTGGCTCAGTCCTAATCATTCTTCAAAGGAGCTCTGGTTCTTTGTATTGAAGAATGCTGTTTAGAAACCAAGATCTGGGTATGAACTCTATTTATTTATTTGTTTGTTTGTTTAAACATCAAAAATAAATTATTTTTATTTTTAAGTCAGAGATTTAATCATTGGATTAAATAAGAAGATTCATTCTTCAAGTTCCTGAAAATTAGTAAAACTTAAAAACTACAAAATATTTTTACTATTATTTTTACTCAGAATCACAGAAGAACCATGAGTAGTTTTCCAAATTTTTCATAGGTAAACCCAGTTTCCTCAAATTTAAAACAGAATTATTTGGGGAAAAGTCATGTGCCAGTTTGAAAATGCCTAAGCCATAAAGCCATAAGCCATAAATTATTTACCATTTACAATCCCTTTTTTTTTTTTTAAGAGAGTCTTGCCCCGTCACCAAGACTGGAGTGCAGTGGTGCAATGTGCCTCCTGGGCTCAAGGGATCCTCCCACCTCAGCCTCCCAAGTAGCTGGGATTACAGGCACACACCACCATGCCTGGCTAATTTTTGTATTTTTAGTAGAGATGGGGTCTTGCCATGTTGGCCAGGCTGGTCTCAAACACCTGACTTCAGGTGATCTGCCCGCCTTGGCCTCCCAAAGTGCTGGGATTACAGGCATGAGCCACTGCGCCCGGCCCCAGACTAGGTTTATCATTTCCAGCCAACTTATCATTTACAATCTTTATTCTCATACTCTTACACTCCTCTACCTGAATGATTGATAGACTTCTGAATTCCACTGCTAGACTCTATTCCCAGGAGTGCTTCCCAAATGCCCCCACCCATAAGAACCTGGCCTTCCAAATAACACTCAAGTTGAAAGCAACGTTTCTGCAAATTAAACAGAAAAATACTTTTTCCACTTAGAAAATGATCTTCTATTAGAGAAGACTTATTTGGCACCTCAATCCTAACATCAATAATGTAAAAATTGTTGTCCTTATAAATTTTCCCTCTGTTATTATTATTAATTTTTCTTGTTTTAAGAGACAAGGTCTCGCTCTGTCACCCAGGTTGAAATGCAATAGCATAGCTCATATACGATCACAGCCCACTGCAGCCTCAAACTCCTGGGCTCAAGCAACACTCCTGCCAGTCTCCCAAGTAGCTGGGACTAGGGGCATGCACCACTATGCCTGGCTAATTAAAACACCTTTTCCCTTCTTTTTTTGTAGCGATAGGACTGGCAGGTGGGGGTGAGGAGGGGTTGGGGGTAGGTGTCTAGTTATGTTGCTCATAGCTCAAGCCGGTCTCAAACTCCTGGCCTCAAACAATTCTCCCGCCTCGGCCTCCCAAAGCACTGGAATTATAGGTGTGAGCCACTGCACCGGGCCTCTAATGTTATTTTTTAGTGACTTTTGTTCTTCACATGAATATTGCCTTAAAATACTTTTTATTCTCTCTTCCCTATTCACTATCATTTCTTACATTACTCAAAGACTTTCTCCTTTGAACCACTAGATTGCTCATGAACTGCCTTCTTTCTCAACCAGAATCCTGAATTAAACTAAAACACAATACACAACAAAGAAAGGAACAACCCAATGTTAATTTGGTAAATACCTCAAATTAAACTTCATGCAAATACTAATCATCAAATGTTTAATAAAAGTAAATGAAACAGTTGAGTATGTTTGGGTTTGTTTTTTTCTTGTTTGTTTTGTTGTGCTTTTTTTTGAGATGGAGTCTCGCTCTGACGCCCAGGCTGGAGTGCAGTAGCGCAATCTCAGCTCACTGCAACCTCCACCTCCCAGGTTCAAGCGATTCTCCTGCCTCAGCTTCCCAAGTAGCTAGGACTACAGGCATGCACCACCACACCCAGCTAATTTTTGTATTTCTAGTAGAGATGGGGTTTTGCCATACTGGCCAGGCTGGTCTCGAACTCCTAACCTCAGGTGATCCACCTGCCTTCGCCTCCCAAAGTGCTGGGATTACAGGCGTGAGCCACTGAACCTGGTCTGTTTGTATTTTTTAACAGCTAGTAAAACAGTTAGTATCGAACACCTACATAATATATACATGATCCTTACAAAAAAAGAGTCTTCCTAGCCAAGAACTTTCATGTATTGATGGAACTTTCTTTTTCTATTTTATTGCTGCAGAGTAAAAGGAGGACACCATCTTCTTCCTGCTTCTAAAGCCTTCTGATTCTTACTTTCACTGTTGTGTCAGTACAGGAAAGAGATTATAGAAACATTGTTAAGTGGATTACTATATTGATAAAATAGGATGAATAAAGAAACGTCACTACCATTTACTTATAGCATTACTTTTTTTTTTTTTTGAAACAGGGTCTAGCTTTGTTGCCCAGGCTGGAGTACAGCGGTGCGATCTCAGCTCACTGCAGCCTCCACCTTTTGGGTTCATGAGATTCTCATGCCTTAGCGTCTGGTGTAGCTGGGACTACAGGTGCATACCACCACACCCAGTTAATTTTTGTATTTTCAGTAGAGACAGGGTTTTGCCATGAACTCCTACCCTCAAGTGATCCACCCACCTTGGCCTCCCAAAGTGTTGGGATTACAGGCATGAGCCACGTGCCTGGCCATCTTATAGCATTACTTCTATTAGAAAATATATTTACAGGTCCCAAACTGTCTGTTTAAAAATGAACCTTTGTTCATTTTTATATGTGTGTATATGTATATACATATACATATATATCATCCTATATACATATACACACACACGTGTATCTTTCATAAGTCACTGCACATTATACATAATACTGTGCACCTTGCTTTTTTTGGGGGGCGGGGGGAGGGGATAGGGTCTTGCTGTCACCCAGGCTGGAGTGTAGGTAGTAGCATGATCACAGCTCACTGCAGCCTTGACCTCCCAGGCTCAAGTGATCTTCCCACCTCAGCCTCCAGCCTCCAGAGTAGCTGAGACTACAGGTGTGTACCACCATGCCCAGCTAATATTTTTTATTTTCTGTAGAGACAAGGTCTTGCTATGTTACCCAGGCTGGTCTTAAACTCCTGGGCTCAAGCAATCCTCTTGCCTTGGCTTCCCAAAGTGCTGGGATTACAGGTGTGAGCCACTGCACCCGGCCTGCACCTTGCTTTTTACACTTAACATATCTTCAAGATCTTAGGTCTTCCATATTAGTATATAAAGATAGGTCTCATTATTTTTAACAGATGCCTAACATTCTGCAGCATTTTTTTAAAGCTGGCAACTACCTATTCAAAATATAAACACTAAAACAATCTAAACATAATAGAATGAACAGTTTAAACTTTGTTATCAAAGTCCATTACCAGCTTTTGGATAGACTAACCTTCACTCGGGGACAGAAAAGAAGCATAAAAGGCCAAGGAGAAGGGCAATTTTGATCTAGGGAATTCTGGAGCTGGTCTAGGATCATTCTTGTCCCATACACTTGAGGTTGTGCTATGCGAGGGGTTTGGACCAGCCCTATCAACTCCAATTTTACTAATTTCCAGGAGGCCAAACCAGTGGATTATATAGGCCCTTCGGAATGCCCATGGCCCATTATCTTCAGCACTCAAACTTCTGAGGAGGCACAGAGACGATGTCCTTTTCTCCAGAAAAGGAAAGGACAGCTCTGTTGGAAGCAAGCTATCTGGACCTCTAGGCTTTCAAAATAGAGCTATTTCAAGTAATACTACACTAGGCTTATTCACGAGAAGGATAAAAAACAAATGTTGCCATATTATTTCACTCCTGTCTTGACTTATTCTATATTAATTTCATGGGACTGCTATCCAAATATTAGTCCACTAACAATATCATTACCTACTGGGTTACATTTACAAAGACTACCTTTGAAAGTGTCTTAAAAGAAGGAAAAAAATAATATGATCATGTCATACTTACGAAGTGCCGGACAGCAAAAATGGAGTGCGAACACCATCCACCACCACAACATTCCTTATATTGGGTTTGGCTAACGTCTTCTTCGTTTTGGTCTGGACAGCTTTAAGATAAAGTTTTTAAAAAAACTACTAATTAAAATATATAAGTCTGATTACTTTTACTTTTTTTTTTTTTTTTAAGCTGGAGTCTCGCTCTGTCACCCAGGCTGGAGTGCAATGGTGCGATCTCGGCTCACTGCAACCTCTGCCTCCTGGATTCAAGCAATTCTCCTGCCTCAACCTCCCGAGTAGCTGGGATTATAGGCACCTGCCATCATGCCTGGCTAATTTTTGTATTTTTGTAGAGATGGGTTTTCACCATGTTGGCCAGGCTGGTCTCAAACTCCTGACCTTAGGTGACGTGCCCGCCTCAGCCTCCCAAACTGCTGGGATTACAGACGTGAGCCACCATGCCCGGCCTACTTTTACATCTTTTAAGACAGTCATTTTAAGAATTATTACATCATTAATGCCAACCTGCATTTACCATTTACTAAACCACTTTAAATTTTTTTCAAAAAAAGGCTAAGAAACTGACTAGCATTTGTAAGTTTCTACATAATATTTAAGATAAAGCTTATATCCAATGATGAGGGAATTTATGCCATTAACAAAATAGTTCATTTTTATTAAGTGTTTGACAACCTATATCATTAGAAGTAACCAAATTTACATGCAAATCTACCCTTAATATTAGAAGTTGCAATGACTGATATTGTTCACTCTTCACATAGCTTGATGTTCTTACCTTTCTATGTGGAAATAAAGGGCCCTTGGATGGTGACTTGCTATTCTGCAAAAACCCACATGCCTAAATACTTTTTAATCTCAAAAAAGCAAACTTCCTTTAGGTTTCTTTTCTTTTTCTTTTCTTTTTTTTAATGTTTAAGCTGCATATTTACTCATTGAAACACTATGTAAAATAAGGGTAAAATCAACTAAAGGAAAAACAGTTGTTTGATTTATTTGTACTTAAATTGACTAAAGTAGTACTAATGTCATTATGATGCAGCAAATATAAGACCTCTTTCTACAAAGATTAGCATAACCAACAAATTAGGGGATATAGTACAACTGAGCCAAAAAGGGTGAGGAAATCAATTAACCGTTTACCTCAATGGTTTTTAAAAAATAAGCAAAGCCTCCCAATCCCAAACAATAGGAGTATCTTCATCACACCAATTTGTACTTGTATTTCTTATTCTTGAGGTTAGATTCTAAACCCTAAAGATATCCAAACTAGTATTAGATCTACTTATCTATAGCCAGAGACAGCTTTTATCATGTTGTCCTTAGCAGCCAAAGTTATTAAAATGTCTTTTCTCCAGGAAGATCCAATAGGAAAAAAAGAAACCTCTCTGATTAGGCTCCAACCATACTCCACCCTCCATCAAATTGACTGGATAGACATAATGGAAACCGGAACACGTGGTTTCCAAACAAGAAAAATCCTATCAGGGAGGGGAGGAGGGGAGAGGAAGGTTCAGCCAGTGCCCAGACTGAAATTGAGTAATATCAATTTTACTCATCTTCACATATCTTCAGGTTGCACGTTCGTGGAGTAGTTTAGGAATAAATCCATGGTTTGTGGAGTACTAAAATACCTAGTCGTCTGCTGTATTACATTAAGGCCTTCCCCAGCAGCTTCCAAGGCAGCCTCCAAGTCACTGGCAGGAGAATTTGGCTGGAACTGCAAGCAGGACTGCAGAGATTCCTCTTCAAAGTCATAGAAGGCACTGTTCCAGGCCTGATTGTTCCAGGACTGGGTGCACCAGGTCTGAGTGTTCCAGGAGTGGTTGCTCCAGGGTGGGACATTCTGGGTCTGGTTGCTCCAGGATGAACTGTTGCAGGTCTGGTTGCTCCACATCGGAAGGTTCCCAGTCGGGTTCACCAGGCATCCCTGGTGGTAGGAAGAGTAGAGGCTGGGGTAGGTAGGTGCTGAGGCCTTCTGAGTCACACCATTGGTATTCTTTGGCCAGTTGTTTTTCAGCCACTTCTTAGATTTCATTCTCTGGTTCTGGAACTAGGTCTTCACCTGTTTGTAGCGGAGGTTCAGGATGTTGGAAAGTTCTTGCATCTGCTGGAGGCTGAGGTATCTCTGTCTCTGAAATCTATCATTGAGTACACAAAGCTGGGCGGAAGAGAACACAGTTCTGGCCTTCTGTTTCTTGACGGGGACCTTGTCTTCCTTTTTTGTGGCACTATTCTCTGCAGCAGTAGGTTGTTTGCCTTTGGGACTGGTGGAAGAATCGGGGCTCTCCTGAATAAGCAGATCCATGGAGGAAGGAAGAGGAGAGACAATCTCCATGTGAGGCATCTCAGCAGAAGACATTTGCAAGGATGGATAGTTTTCTTCAGGCCCACAAATCACAGGCATAGGTGAAGATTCTTTACCGTCGGATGCTTCGAAGCAAGGCAAGCTTTGGGGACAAGCTGGATCCACACTTAGTTTCCTTTAGTTTGGTCTCTTGTCTATCCCTCCTCCCAGGTAGTCGACTTCTGACTTTTTCCCTCTGGCTCTTTAGCTTCTTCTAAAGTCTGGTGATATTGTCATGTCTTTCAAGACTACTCTGTGCCCAACTTGTGTGTGTGTGTGTTTCACATTCTTCACCAAGGAAACCCTTTAGGTTTCTTAAATTAAAGAATAAAATATAAATACGTGCCTGTGGTTTTTTTAAAAAGTAAATAATACTAAACTATGGAGAGTAAAAACTAAAGTTCCCTCTTTATGCTTTCGCCTACCACACTATTTTCTTCTGAGAGGTAAAGTCTGTTTATTTGGTGCATACACTTACAAATCTTTTCTTTTAGTGCATTTACATGCATATACTTGTACGTTACATATACCTTGTTGGCTTAACAATATAGCTGGAAGAACATTCCGTGTTAATATATCAAAATCTAGTTCACTATTTTCTTGTTGTTGTTAATGTTGGAATTTACCTACTCTATCATTATTCCTTCATTATCAGAGATAGAAAAAAATTCTAAATTACTGGGAATACAATGTCGACAACGACCTTACCACACCTGTTAATGTCACAGAGAAATATTTATAGTAAACATCTACAACCAACTTTAAAGAAATATTAGTCAGAGTTAATAGTCATGATAAAATAGGGCATAAAGATGACCCTGGCAGCATTCATGGAGATGTGCTGCTGGTGAAGGAGATAAACGGAACAAGGAGGTAAGCGAAGAGACTGTGGCAAACCCAAGTATGTGGCGCAAAAGGCCAGGATAAAGGCAGTATCAACATGAGTAGAGAGGATGTTTATAAAGGAAAACAAGGTATGCTGGCAACCAATCAGATATAGAAAGAAAGGAAACAGGAAAACAGGATTATAAAGGAAGCTTTGAGACTAAGAATACTTAGCTACCTGAAACAAAATGAGAACTGGTTTTGGGGAAAAGAAGGGGACTTAATTATTATTATTATTATTTTTGAGACGATGTCTCGCTCTGTCGCCAAGGCTGGAGTGCTGTGGCACAATCTCGGCTAACTGCAATCTCCACTTCCCAGGTTTAAGCAATTCTCCTGCCTCAGCCTCCCGAGCAGTTGGGATTACAGGTGCATGCCACCACACCCAGCTAGTTTTTACATTTTTAGTAACGATGGGGTTTCACCTTGTTTGCCAGGCTGGTCTTGAACTCCTGACCTCAAGTGATTCGCACACCTTGGCTTCCTAAAGTGTTGGGATTACAGGCGTAAGCCACTGTGCCCGGCCTCATTTTTAAACTCACTAACTTTGAGGTGACAGAGAGACATCCAGGTGGATATGTTAACTACACAGTTAGCTAGAAGATGCAAAGCAAAACCTCTGAAGAGAAATGAGTGTAGATTAGAAAGTCATGAAATATTGAAACTCAGAATACAGAAAGAAAGCAGAGATGTATTTTGCAACGCCTGTTCTCCCACAGCCCCCTCTATTTCTTTTATTTTTAAATTTCTTTTTTCCTCTTTAACAATAAAAGATGCTTTTTTTGTTTGTTTGGGTGTGGGGGGGGTGTTTGTTGTGTTGTTGTTGTTTTGGACATCCCACAGCCCCCTCTAAAGAGAGTTGCCCCGCTTACAGTCCCTGCCAAAGGGGAAGCCATAGGCACATCCCTAAGTCAATATAAAAACTGATCAGATCCAGAGTATGTACTGGACTCACCAACGATCCATCTATATAGGAGCCAACCACAAACCAGTGTCATTTACCTACAAGTGATCAGTTGTGCTAGTCAGATTCTCTCTCTAGGCAAAGAAGCACGGAAAGAAATGCAAAATTAGTTGAAGCTGAAAAGATGTCACGAGGAAGAATCAGGGCAATGGTAAATTGACGTCATTCATAAGTTAGTCTGTAAACTGTAAGTGAGCAAATAAGCCAGCCAGAAGGAAGAATGATAGAAGCAGAAAGACCAGGAAAGGGACATACCGTGTGGGGCATGAGAGAGACAAAGTAGCTAGCCCCTAGAACTGCTTGCTTGGTTCCTAACGCCTTTCCAGCTGTAGTACACACAAACCTTCTCATCCTTAACCTGAGGGTCCATTACTACAACAAAAAGACACTTAGCTTTGTGATGTCCCTACAATGAGAAGGCTGAGGGAAGATGCAAGACAAACAGTAACTTGAGAGGTAGTAGGAGAATCAAGAGAGAACGGTATAAAAGATCAAAGGCAGGAGAGTGTCAAGGAGAACAAGATGGTCAAATGCATTGGTCCTCAAGGAGAAGAATCCTAATTTCAGTAGACTGAAAACAGGCCACTAAATGTGAAGATTTGCAGACTATTCATGACTGACCTTGCAGGTGACAGGTCCAATGGTATGCCATCATGTCATTCCACATTTTAAAACCTAACCAAGCCAGGCGTGGTGGCTCATGCCTGTAATCTCACCACTTTGGGAGGCCGAGGCGGGCAGATCACGAGGTCAGGAGTTCAAGATCAGCCTGGCCAACATAGTGAAACTCTGCCTCTACTAAAAATACAAAAATTGGGGCCGGGCGCGGTGGCTCAAGCCTGTAATCCCAGCACTTTGGGAGGCCGAGACGGGCGGATCACGAGGTCAGGAGATCGAGACCATCCTGGCTAACACGGTGAAACCTCGTCTCTACTAAAAAATACAAAAAACTAGCGGGGCGTGGTGGCGGGCGCCTGTAGTCCCAGCTACTTGGGAGGCTGAGGCAGGAGAATGGCGTGAACCCGGGAGGCGGAGCTTGCAGTGAGCTGAGATCCAGCCACTGCACTCCAGCCTGGGCAACAGAGCGAGACTCTGTCTCCAAAAAAAAAAAAAAAAAAATTGGATGGCACAGGGGTACGTGCCTATAATCCCAGCTACTGGGGAGGCTGAGGCAGAAGAATGGCTTGAACCCAGGAGGTGGAGGTTGCCGTAAGCTGAGATCTTGCCACTGCACTCCAGCCTGGGTGACAGGGCAAGACTCTGTCTCAAAACAAACAAACAAACAAAACTAACCATATATTCCTTTTATACACTTTTAGATAAATTTCAAATTCTTAACTCTTCTAACAAACAGCCTGCTTTACTTGGTTCCACCTTAACTATCCAGAAGTATTTTCCACTACTTCTCAAAATAGAACAAGATGAGCCAGCCCCCAGTCCTTTAGAGCTTTGCTCAGGTCAGCCTCCTTGCCTTTACTTATGGACCTCCCATCTGCCTGGTCCCTTTTTTGCCCATCTAATTCTTAACCTCTCTCTTGGGCCTCGTTCACATTCTATCTCCTAGTAAAGCCTTCCCTGATAACAACAGTTACTGAGGGTTCCTGCCTCTAAACCTCTGGGCAACCTCTAGGGCATACTGGCCATTCCAAATAATTTAGCATATTATAAAGTAATTAAACTAACTCTACAAGCCACATTTTAAAAATATTCATTATTATATGTAGGAGATCAGTCAGAGTGGTGGGAGAAACTATAGGGAAAGGTGCAGGCCTTCCGAAAGGTCAGAAGGTTCTGCAGAGCCCCAGGGAGGAAGAGCTGAAGGCAGTTGTTCTATCACCCTGAGGCAGAGGGCAAGAAGTAGGTACAAGGGAGTGTAGGGGAATGTATCTTAAACTAGCTTATTTATTTATGTTGACCAGGGGCTGATCTTTGATCACCCATGCAAGATGTTCCTGGAAGGGGAACAATAAATGTTAGTTACCCATAGATTGTGTTTGCTCCAGGCTTTCATCATTGTGCCTATACTGAATGAAAGCAAGCAGCTCCAGCTCCTCGGGCTGCTGCACTTTGGCCACTAGAGCCAGGCAGACCCCTAGCTGGTCTTACACTGCATACCTGTGTCTGAGTACTCATTTCATGTGTCAGTTGGCCAGGGTCTGCAGGACAGACCTGGCAGGTGGTGTCCCATGTGAGGCATCCTGCAATGGATCCTGACAGAACCCTCAAAAATGAAGGTGAAGTGACTGGGCAGTAAGTAATTGGTGCCCGCTCAAGATTTCCAAGTCTGAGGGGATTTTCAAGCTAGGCTTTCATCACGGGACATGATGTTTCATCATGGTGAGAGACAGGACTAACTAGATTTCCTAGGCCAACTAAGAATTCCTAAGCCTAGCTAGAGAAGGTGACTGTACCCACCTTTAAACACAGGGCTTGTAACTCAGCTCACACCTGACCAATCAATCAGGTAGTAAAGAGGGCTCACTAAAATACCAATTAGGTTAAAAGCAGGAGGTAAAGAAATACTCAAATCATCTATCATCTGAGAGCACAGGAGGAGGGACAGTGATTGGGATATAAACCCCAGGCATTTGAGCAGGGAGGGGCAACCCCCTTTGGGTCCCCTCCCCTTATATGGGAGCTCTGTTTTCACTCTATTAAATCTTGCACACTCTTCTGGTCCGGCTTGAGCTGAGCTTTTGCTCACCATCCACCACTGCTGCTCGCTGCTGTCACAGACCCGCCGTTGACTTCCACCCCTCCGGATCAGGCAGGGTGTCCACTGCGTTTCTTTTTTTTGTTTTTTTGGTTTTTTTTTTGAGACGGAGTCTCGCTCTGTCGCTCAGGCTGGAGCGCAGTGGCCGGATCTCAGCTCACTGCAAGCTCTGCCTCCCGGGTTTACGCCATTCTCCTGCCTCAGCCTCCCGAGTAGCTGGGACTACAGGCGCCCGCCACCTTGCCCAGCTCGTTTTTTGTATTTTTTAGTAGAGACGGGGTTTCACCATGTTAGCCAGGATGGTCTCGATCTCCTTACCTCGTGATCCGCCCATCTCGGCCTCCCAAAGTGCTGGGATTACAGGCTTGAGCCACCACGCCCGGCCTCCGCTCTGTTCCTGATCCGGTGAGGCAACCAGTGCCCTTCCCGTTCAGGCTAGAGGCTCGCCATTGTTCCTATGCAGCTAAGTGCCCAGGTTCATCCTAATCAAGCTGAACACTAGTCGCTGGGTTCCACGGTTCTCTTCCATGACCCACGGCTTCTAATAGAGCTATAACACTCACCGCATGGCCCGAGGTTCCATTCCTTGGAATCTGCGAGGCCAAGCACCTCAGGTCAGAGAAAAAAGGCTTGCTGCCATCTTGGGAGTGGCCTGCCCCATCTTGGGAGCTCTAAGAACAAAGGCCCACCGGTAACAATGGGACATGAGTTAGCTCAACAGCAACAATATGTAAAAGTATTGAAACAGCTGCTTAAAGCTAGCAGAGCCTCGGTTTCAGAGGCTCAATTAAGGGACCTAATGCAAACTGCTGTTTTCCATAACCCATGGTTCCCAGAAGAAAGCACACTAGACCTAGAGTTCTGGGAACAAGTCGGAAGAAACCTTTTTTTTTTTTTTTTAGACAGAGTCTTGCTCTGTAGCCCAGGCTAGAGTACAGCAACACAATCTCGGCTCACTGCAAGCTCCACCTCTGGGGTTCACACCATTCTCCTGCCTCAGCCTCCCAAGTAGCTGGGACTACAGGCGCCCACCACCACACCTGGCTAATTTTTTGTATTTTTAGTAGAGACGGGGTTTCACCGGGTTAGCCAGGATGGTCTCGATCTCTTGACCTTGTGATCCGCCTGCCTCGGCCTCCCAAAGTGCTGGGATTACAGGCGTGAGCCACCACGCCCAGCCACAAGTGGGAAGAAATCTTAAATGACATCGTGCACAAGGGGAACAGGTCCCAGTAACATCTTTAACGTTGTAGACCTTAGTTAGGGCTGCTTTGGCCCTGCTCTACACAGAAGAGCCTAAAAAGGGAAGGGAAGAGGAACCATCACCTACCTTACCACCTTCTCCTCCTCCCTCAGCCCCACCATTACTAGGTAAAGGTGCCACAGAGGAGACAGAGGTTTTTCCTGAGCCCCCTCCCCCAATAAACTGGGAAGAAAACAATGGATATACTACAGTTATGGGACCCTGTCTTAGGCAAGCAGCATTAGAAGGGGAGCTCTTGGCCGGGATCGGTGGCTCACGCCTGTAATCCCAGCACTTTGGGAGGCCAAGGTGAGTGGATCACGCAGTCAGGAGATCGAGACTATCCTGGCTAACATGGTGAAACCACATCTCTACTAAAAGTACAAAAAATTAGCTAGGCATGGTGGTGGGCACCTGTAGTCCCAGCTACGCAGGAGGCTGAGGCAGGAGAATGGTGAGAACCCAGGAGGCGGAGCTTGCAGTGAGCCGAGGTCACACCACTGTACTCCAGCCTGGGCAACAGAGCAAGACTCCGTCTCAAAAAAAAAAAAGAAAAAAGAAAAGAAGGGGAGCTCTTAGCCTGCCCAGTGATGCAAAATCAACAAGGCAATCAGGTACATGAACCCATTACTTTCAATTATAAAGAAATAAGAGAAAGCATTAGAGAAAACAGAGCCGCTAGCACATTTACGAGAGGACTGATTGAGACCATAGCAGACAACTACCATATGACCCCTTTCTAATAATGGCCAATTATGTATTCAATAGTCACCTAAGGACTCTCGTTCTGCCTCATGTGCGCACTGGCTCCTAAGCACATCAAAATTTTCTGAAGGGCAACACAATACAGCTCCATTTTATATATTCTACAGTACTCTGGGCACACAACAGTAATGAATTATAAGAATCTGAATTGGGAGCTAAAATATCTGGGTTGTAGGCCTACTCTGCCACGATTTTCTTATTTGCAAATATTAGAGCTGAACTAGATGACCTCAAAGGCTCTGCCCAACTCCAAAACCTACAATTCAATGGCTGACTGATATACATTCTACACTCTTTAAAAACAATTAAAATCAAAGAAGATAATAAGTGTGTCATGTATTATACAACTATTATACACGTGTGTGTGTATATATATATACAGAGAGACAGGCATCTATACATAGACATAACCATCAAATCAGTCAAAATTTCCAACAGGCACTTACATTTCCAGTCCATCAGATGACTAAAAACATCCACAAATTCTGTATCCCTCTATTTTAATTCCTTCATCCTAACAGCTCTGTCAAGAAGAGATATTCACACGATCTTCAAGAGGAATTAATTATAAAATTACTGCAATCTTCAAAACAGAATGCCAGTTAAAACAAAAAAAGTTACTGCAACCTAAAACCTGCTGAGCCCAGGCACATGCCTGCTTCCACCCTCAAAGCAGCTGGCCACTTCCCATTGTTTTATCATTTGCCTTCTGGTACCACTATCATCATCAGCATTAATGCAAATTACTTGTGGGACACTGTGTTATATTTGCGGAACACTGTGTTATACACTGGGGATACCAAAAAGCTAGACTCACAGGGCTTACAATACATTTAGGGAGACAGAAACATCAGGAACAGTTACAGAGCAATATAAGGAATAGTTTAAACACCAGATACATGGTTTCCTCTGCTGGTATTCAGAATGACCTTCTCCCACTTGGCAAGGATCAGGTCTATTTGTGTGACTTTGCAAAGCAAAGACCTGGGTCAACATTAGAATTAGGGAAAAGGCAAAACAAGACAGACAGGAATTATTTATGGGGGTACTACAAACCTATATATTAGTTAGAATGTAAAGGCCACAGGAAAAATATTTGTTATATGACAACATGAAACTTCTGTAGTTGGGATTAGGCAATAATAGAAAAATACCATCTTGCACTTATAGTGAATTTACAGTTTTTAAAGTGCTTTGAGATATAACTATATGAGGCTGATAAGACAAGACTTATTATATATTTCTTTTTTAGATGAAGAAACTAAGCACAGGGAAGTAAAGTGACCAGTTCAAGGCCACATGGCCCAAAAAGAGGTAGAACTGGAAGAGAATACAGGTCCTCTGAATCCTGGGAACCAAATCCCAGGATTTTTTCTTTTCTTTTCTTTTCTTTTTTTGAGCCGGAGTCTCGCTCTGTCACCCAGGCTGGAGTGCAGTGGTGTGATCTCGGCTCACTGCAAGCTCCGCCTCCTGGGTTCAAAGATTCTTGTGTCTCAGCCTCCCAAGTAGCTGGGACTACAGGCGTGCGCCACCACGCCCAGCTAATTTTTGTATTTTTAGTAGAGATAGGGTTTCGCCACGTTGACCAAGCTGGTCTCAAACTCCTGACCTCAGGTGATCCACCTGCCTCAGCCTCCCAAAGTGCTGGGATTACAGGCGTGAGCCCCCACACCCAGCCTGGAAGATATTTTTTCTATTAAGTTATTATACAAGTAGAAATACCATAATAAAACCAAAATCAAAGGCATGGGTCCATACAGAATCTAGGCAAGGAGAAAAATGTTAAGAATTTGACAGGGTGTTTTTAGCACTAGCCTGGGAAGATACAAACCTACAGTACATTCTACAAAAATCTGCAGTAAAGAAGCCTAATTTATTGGGTTTACTGAGGGTGTAAATGACCATATAAAATCAACACATTTCCTTACTCTTTTATTTCATACTAACTAAACAACTTTCTGCTATTACTAGTTCCCTAATCACTTCTATTTCAGGAATGGGCCCTCTTGCACATGGGAGAAGATATTCATCAATAGAGAAGCATTTCACAAATTGCAAATTTAAAAAGTTAACTTTTGGTTCCATAACAGGTCTCAAGAGCATTTGTAAGCCATTCATCTCCAGGATGGCCAGCAAGAGGATAAATAAACTGACCAGCGAGGTTTATGGAACCTCCATGACTCCAGCAGGTTCAAATCCCAGAAAACAGTCTCCTGTCAACAACCTCAAGCCTAATCCTAAATAAGGTAGTATCACTATTGATTGGCCCTATAATTTTTTAATTCGAAGGCAACAGAGATTTCATGTTGCTCATAAAAAGGGGAGAATTAGCAAATCAGTTTTGGTTTTTATTCAGAGTTCACAGACTATAGAATCTGGAATCTACCATTGAAATCAGAAATGTTTATTTTACAAATGACTGTACCTGGGGCAGCTCGTAGCTGGGAGGAACAGCTCAGAGGTCTTATGGCTGGAAGACAAAATAAACTGTTTACAAAAAGCAATACCATTCAGTATCTATGCAAGATGCTTATAAATCCAAATCCAATCTCTAAAAATAAAATAATAATAATAAACTTACCAAATCTGAGGGCCCATTTTGATGTAGTGGGAAGTTTTTTAAAAGGGTAAGTCAAGATGGTAGTCATTCCGGAATCTAAAAAGAGAACAAAAGTATATCCTGGATTAGCTGAACAATTTGTAGTTTACATTGTAGTCTATGAACTCTAATAACGTCATCCACAGCTACTAGAAAACATTAAAACTTAATCTTATCAACCATTCTTCATCCAATATTATTATTATGATAGGAACACTGACATGGCTTTCACATTGTACCAATCACTATTCTAAGCATTAACCATCTAATCTTCACAATGACCTATAAAGTAGGCATGATTATTACATCCTTTGTAAGAGATAAGGAAATTCAGGCATAGTAGGATTTAGTGACTTGCCAAAAGACCTACAACTAGTGAGTGGCAGAGCTGGAATATTTACTTATTTATTTATTTATTTTTGAGATGGAGTTTTGCTCTTGTTGCCCAGGCTGGAGTACAGTGGCACAATCTCGGTTCACTGCAATCTCCACCTCCCCGGTTCAATCGATTCTCCTGACTCGGCCTCCCGAGTAGCTGGGATTACAGGCACGTGCCATGGCGCCCGGCTAATTTTTTGTATTTTTAGTAGAGACGGGGTTTTGCCATGTTGGCCAGGCTGGTCTTGAACTCCTGACCTCAGGTGATCCATCTGCCTTGGCCTCCCAAAGTGCTGGGATTACAGGCGTGAGCCACTGTGCCCGGCCCAGACCTGGAATTTGAACCCAGGGAGTCTACCTCCAGAGTTTGTGCTCCTGTCCTTTAGGGTCAAAGAAGCAGAGAGACTGCTAGGCGTGATCATAAAACCATTAGTATTAGTTTCACGATTCTGAAGGCTATACTATGATTATGTAGAAGGCTTTGTGGAATGTTTGTATTTGAAGGGAATACACACTAAATAGGGATGGTGAAGCATCATGTCAACAACTTACTCTCAATAGTTTGATACTATATTGTTTCAAAATAATAAAAAAGTAAAACATAATAATCCTATATATTAAAAAATATGTAAAATACATTAACTACTTCCCCCCACCCCCCAAAAAAGACTAAATTTCTAACAATGAGTTCCTACAGATCACTAAGGAAAACACTAGCAGACAAATAAGCACAGAATATGAACAGACCACAGAAAAGGAAATACAAATGGCTCTTAAATATATGAAAAGATGTTCAATTTCACTCATTAGAATTCAAATTAAAATCACACAGATATAATTGTCTGTCAAAGTAGCAAAGATTCAAAGGTTTGATATATACTCTGTAGGTAAGAGTATGTGCAAATAGATATTCTCATATACTGCTGCCAAGAGAAGTGGCACAATCCATGGGGAGGGCAATTTGGTAATTATCCGTGAAAACTACGACTGCACCTAATGTTTGAACCAGCAATTCCATTTCCATGAACAGACTTCATGGACATTACTCACACACAGGACATGATCCATATTGTTACTGTAATAGTCAAAGATTAGAATAACCAAAAAATACAAAAATGGGTAAGTAAACCATGCTACAACACCCTTGTGAAATACAATGCAGCTGTAAAAGGTAAGGAAATGATTATGTACCAATATGAAACCATTTTTAAGCTATATTAAGTGAAGAAAGCAAGATGCAAAATAGTTGTACAGCACGCTATCACTCATGTTAAAAGAGGAAAAATATTACGTACATTTCCTTGCATCAGTATAAAATCCCCCTGGATGTATAATAAAGATAAGAATAATTGTTGACTGGAGGAAAGGGAACTGGGTAACTAGGGGACTGGGGTGGAAGACTTGTCATCATACACTTCTTATAATTTCTTAATTTTGAAGCATGTTTTAACTAAAAAAAAAAAAAAAAAATCAAAACCAAAAAAGTCCCACAAGATTTACCAACAAAGACTTTGGTAGCCAACCTCCAAGTTGCCCCCCAATAATCTCTACCTCTTGGTATTCACACCCTTGTCTAGCTGCCTCCCTCTCCGTATCACAGAATGTAGAAACCAAAGAGTATGTTACAAGTAACGGTATGCCACTTCTGACACAGGCTGTAAGAGATACTGCAACATCTGCCATGGCCTCTCTCTCAGCTCACTCACTCTGGGAGAAGCCAGGTGGTGTGTCCTGAGCAGCCTTATGAAGAGGCTCCTGTGGTGAGGAACTGACGCCTCTTGCCGACAGCCATGTGAGTGAGCTTGGAAGCAGAGCCTTCAGCTCAGGCAAGCTTTCAGCTGACACCAGCCCTGCCAACATTCTGACAGCCACCTCATGGGAAATTCTAAATCGGAGTAATCCAGCTAAGGTGCCCTTGATTCCTGACCTTCAGAAACTATGAGATGGTAAACATGTATTGTTTTAAACTGCTAAATTTGGCAGTAATTGGCTACACAGAAATAGATAATACAAATGTTTTAAGGTTTAACTTCTCTTGGGTCTTTAGAGACTAAAAGGAGGATGTCCTATAGCTTCTGAAAAGGAAAAAACAAAACACACGTTCCAAATATGTGGATTGGAAAGAGATGGAGAAGCCCAAGCTTTAGGATCACCAGCCTAGGGATATTCAAAGGACTCTGGCCAGAGAAACACAAAGAGGCCCATGAGAGAGGCACCACTCAGAAGCCACAAGGGTCTGGGATACAAGTTCCCTTATGTAAAGTTCACCTTGAAATAAAATTCATGAAAATAGTTAAGAAAATGTTGAAAAACAAACGGGGGAACCTTGTTCCAATAGATAACAAAACTTTCTAGGCTAGGCACAGAGGCTCACACCTGTAATCCCAGCACTTTGGGAGGCTGAGGTGGGAGGATCGCTTGAGCCCAGGAGTTCGAGACCAGCCTGGGCAACCGAGTGAGACCCTGTCTCTACAAAAAATACAAAAAACTAGCTAGGCATGGTGGCATGTGCCTGTAGTCCCAGCTACTCAGGAGGCTGAGGTGGGAGGAGCATCCAAGTCAGGAGTTCAAGGCTGCAGTGAGCCATGATCACACCACTGTACTCGAGCCTGGGTGACAGAGTAAGACCCTGTCTCAAAAGAAAAACAGATAAGCGCTAGGCGCAGTGGTTCATGCCTATAATCCCAGCACTTTGGGAGGCTGAGATGGGCGGATCACAAGGTCAGGAGATCGAGACCATCCTGGCTAACACAGTGAAACCCCATCTCTACTAAAAATACAAAAAGTTAGCTGGGCGTGGTGGCAGGCGCCTGTAGTCCCAGCTATTCAGGAGGCTGAGGCAGGAGAATGGCATGAACCCGGGAGGCAGAGCTTGCAGTAAGCTGAGATCGCGCCACTGCACTCCAGCCTGGGTGACACAGCGAGACTCCGTCTCAAAAAAAAAAAAAAAAAAAAAAGACAAAACACTTTCTATAAAGAACCAATAATTAAAACAGAGCAGCTCTAGCACAGGAATAAATGACATTGGTCAACAGAACAGGATGTAGCAGTTCAGAAGCAGACCCATGCATGTAAGAATTTAGTGTATAAAAAATACAACACTTCAGTTAGCTGAGAGAAAGAAATTACTCCATGAATTCACTGGGAAAATGGCTAAACATGTGGAAAAAATTTTAGGTCTGTAGCTCATAGCAAAAGCACGAATAAATGCCAGACAGATTAAATATTTAAATGTATATATTTTAAAAATACATATTCTAACTATAAAAGTGCTAGAGGAAAACATCAGAGAATATAATATATACATACACGCACGTGTATGTATTTTTCAGAGACAGAGTCTCGCTCTGTTGCCCAAGGTGCAGTGCAGTGGTATGATCATAGCTCACTGCAATCTGGAACTCCTGAGCTCAAGGGATCCTCCTGCTTCAGCCTCCTGAGTAGCTAATACTACAGGCACATGCCACTATGCCTGGCTAATTAAAAAAAAAAAAAAAAAAAAAAAAAACTTTAGAGACAGGCTAGTCTCACACTCCTAGCCTCAAGTAATCCTCCTGCCTCGGCCTCCCAACATGCTGGGATTACAAGCATGGGTCACCATATCCTGCCTCAGAGAATATTTTTATCACTTAGATGGAGAAGGGATTTCAACATATGGCACAAAACCCAGAAGTACAACAGAAAATAGTAACTAACGGAACTGATCATATAAACATTCAAAATACATACTAAAATATACTAAAATCAAGTTAAAAGGCAAATAGATTCAGAGAAAATATTTGTAACATGTAAAACAGAAAGGGGTTGATACCCATAATCCATGAAGAACTTGTACAAATTATAAGAAAAACAGGGCAGGCGCAGTTGCTCACACCTATAATCCCAGCACTTTGGGAGGCCCAAGTGGGTGGATCATCTGAGGTCAGGAGTTCGAGACCAGCCTGACCAACATGGAGAAACCCTGTCTCTAATAAAAATACAAAATTAGACAGGCCTGGTAGCACATGCCTGTAAGCCAGCTACTTGGGAGCTGAGGCAGGAGAATCGCTTGAACCCGGGAAGCAGAGGTTGCAGTGAGCCAAGATCATACCACTGCACTCCAGCCTGGGCGACAGAGTGAGACTCCATCACAAAAAAAAAAAAAAAAAAAAAAAAAAAGAAAGGGAAAGAAAAACAGAAACAATCTATCATGGAATCTGCAGTTTGTACTCTAATATCCATTCTACCCAATTATGTAGCTGCTGTATATGGCTTCTATGGGACTGAATCCAGCCCAACTCCAATAAGAAAAATCTCATTCTCTCTGCCAAGATCATTGATTCAGGGACCAAGGCGTCAAACAACCACGCACGGTATTGCCTTGACCACTGGTATTGATGCGTGGATGGTTTAGTCAGTTTAACACTCAAGTCTTCTGCCTGTAATTCCAGAACACAAATCTTTCCTTCTGAGGCCTGGCATGGCTATAGCAATTTGCAAACATTAACAAAGCTAGGCTAAGAGGGAGCTACTACCAGAAGAGCAGAAGAGTACAGAGCTGAGAATTTTGGAAAAAGAAACTAGAGTCCTGGCCGAATCCCATCTGAAACCCACCCTCCCATTGTGCTTTTCAGCTCTGTGAGCCAACAAATCTCCTTTACTTATTTATTTGAGACAGTCTCACTCTGTCACCCAGGCTGGAGTGCAGCGGCACAATCTCGGCTCGTTGCAACCTCTGCCTCCTGGGTTCAAGCAATTCTCCTAGCCTCAGCCTCCCAAGTAGCTGGGACTACAGGCACACACTGCCATGCTCAGCTAATTTTTTTTATTTTAATAGAGAGAGGGTTTCATCGTGTTGGTCAGGCGGGTCTCGAACTCCAGAGCTCAGGCAATCTGCTCTCCTCAGCCTCCCAAAGAGCTAGGATTACAGGCGTGAGCCACCACGCCCGGACCAATAAATCCCCTTAGAGAAGCCAATTTGATTTGAATTGTCTGTTATTTGCAACTGAAAGACTCCTTCCTGATACATGACCAAAAGCCAGAATGAGAAAACAAGCAATTCACAGAAGAAATGAAAATGCCAAATAAACAAAATGTATAATGTTCAACCGCACTCACTAACAAAATGCTGTATTTTTTGTTTTTGTTTTTGTTTTTTTTGTTTGGAGACAAGTCTCACTGTTGTCTCCCAGGCTGGAGTGCGATGGCGCGATCTCGGCTCACTGCAACCTCTGCCTCCTGGGTTCAAGCGATTCTCCTGCCTCAGCCTCCTGAGTAGCTGAGACTACAGGCATGTGCCACCATGCCTGGCTAATTTTTGTATTTTTAGTAGAGATGGGGTTTCACCATGTCGGCCAGGCTGGTCTCAAACTCCTGACCTCAGATGATCCGTCCGCCTCGGCCTCCCAAAGTGCTGGGATTACAGGCATGAGCCACCGCATCCAGCCTGTGTTTTCCTTTTCCTTTTTTTCTTTTTTTTAATTAAAGCAAGGTATCATTTTGTGGTTTTCAGATTGGCAAACATTTAAAATATGGTTAATATATAATTCTAGTAAGAATGCATCTAACTAAATAGGCACTTTCATACACTAGAAGACATGTAAAATGCTAAGGCCTTTTGGTATGACAATTTCGTAGTTATAGATCAGAATTTAAAATGTGAATTTTTGAGTCCAATAATGCCTTTTATTGGTCTCTAATTTATAGAAATATTCAAAATGTGAGTATAGCATATATAGGTCTCTAGCCTAAAGAAATACTCAAGGCGGGCCGGGGTGGTGGCTCATGCCACTGAACTCCAGCCTGGGAGACAGAGCAAAACTCCATCTCCAAAAAAAAAAAGAGAGAAATACTCAAGGTGTTCATTACAGCACTGTTTATATTTGTGGGAAACTGGAACTAATCTAAATGCACATCAGTAGGAAACAGTTAAGTAAGTTATAGTGTAAACACACCATGGAATACTGTTTGGCACTTTGGAAAAGAAAATGAAACAAAATGACGTCCATGTATATATACTGATGTGGAAAAATATTCATAATATATATTAAACGAAAAAGCAAGCTACAGAACAATGTGTATTAGAATAACCGGAAAATAGGGAAATGGGTAAGTAAATCCCGCTACAACACCCATTTTGTAACAGAAAGAGAGAAAGAGAAAAGAAAGTCCATAAAGCTATGAGTCTAGATACGGAAAGGATAAAGAAAAGCTTTTATTTAATATTCTTCTGTTCTCTTTAATTTTTTCAAATAAGCATTTTACTTACGTACAATTCTAGTTTTATTTAAAATCTATATATACTGTTGTACCTCAGTATCCATGGGGGATTGGTTCCAGAATCCCCCCCAGATACCAAACCTCAAGGATGCTCAAGTCCTTTACATAAAATGGTATATATAGTATTTATTTACAAAGAACCTATGCACATCCTCATGCATACTCTAAATCATCTCTCGACTACTTATAATACCTAATACAATGTAAATCTATGTAAACAGTTGTTACGCTGTATTGTTTAGGGAATAATGATGAGAAAAAAAGTCTGTACATGTTCAGGACAGATTAAACCACTGTAGGCCTAACTACATTTTCACTCAGACATTGGTTGAATCAGAGAATGTGGAACTCACAGATACCAAGGGCCGACTGTACATCAGTATCTTATATAAATATATACAAATATACAAATGCATTTTAAAAAGTCCAGAAAAATACACATCAAAATGCTAAAAGTAGTTATCTCTGGGTGGTGGAATTACAGATGTCTTTATTTTCTTTAGACTTTTCTGTAGTTTCTGAATAAAAAATTACATGGAATATGTATTCCTTCAATAATTAATAAAAAAACAGATTTCAAAAGTAAGAGGGACTAAGCAAATTATCCTATGGCAGAGTTGACCTGTCATTTGCTAAGCTTCAGAAAACAGAAATTTTGACAAGAATATTCAAAGCATGGAAACTCCAGGGTAGCGTAGGGTAGGATGGGGTTGGGTAGGGTAGGCCTGAGTAGGGTGTGGAACTATGGAAAGATACACGAAGCTGCAGGCACCTAGGAGCAAGGGAAAGGAAGAAGGGTCTAGGCAAGTAATGAAAGAGAAAGCAAGATGGGGTGGCTCTAACAGCTCATCATCACAACTTTAAAACACAATGTAATGTTTAAGAGAACTGACTAAAGCCAGACTATGTCCAAATCCTGATTCACCCTAGCTGCATGACTTTAAGCCAGTTACTTAACCACACAGGACACATGCACGCGTACACACACACACACACAACACACACGTGCATGCAGCACTTAAAACAGTGCTTGGTACACACTTAGGGGTATACCTGTGTTCACTATTACCAGTAGGGGTGTTGATACAAATGTACTGCTTCCCTCTATATAAACCACTGGACTAAAGTGCTTAGGGATCAAAGAAATATTATAACATGTCTGCCCCGATGGAGCTTAGTCTTGTAGAGAGAGCACAGGGAGCAAAAAACTGGAGCCAAATAAGTGATCCGTATCAGGGACTGGCAAACTACAACACATGGGCCTCTAGCTAAAAACAGTTTTTCACATTTTTAAAGAGTTGTAAGGCTGGGCATGGTGGCTCACGCTTGTAATCCCAGCACTTTGGGAGGCTGAGGTGGGCGGATCACCTGAGATCAGGGGTTCAGGACCAGCCTGGCTAACATGGTGAAATCCCATCACTACTAAAAATACAAAAAATTAGCCTGGCATGGTGGTGTGCGCTTGTAATCCCAGCTACTCGGGAGGCTGAGGCAGAAGAATCACTTGAACCCGGGAGGAGGCTGCAGTGAGCCAAGATCGCACCATTGCACTCCAGCCTGGGCAACAAGAGCGAAACTGTCTCAAAAAAAAAAAAAGTTGTAAACAAAACAAAACAAAAATATATATATAACAGAGACCAAAGTGATCCTGCAAATCCTGAACTATTTACTGTCTGGACCTTTAACAACAACAACAAAATTTACCACTTCCAACCTAAATAATTAGTGCTACATGCAGTTAGGTGTCGAAGAAAGCATTATATGGGCAGGAGGCAGGCTCTGAACTGTAAAAACGCTGTAAGATGATCAAGAATCCTTTTTGTAATTTATTCAGAAGTGGTCAGGTCGTCCACTTTCTGCTTAAAGTGCTCCCAGTGATGAGCACTCACTACGTAACTTGAGCTTTAAACAGAAACGTCTCTACTTTGTTTCTATACTTCTCATTTCAGTCTTAACTTCGATGCCCCTTGTTTCCTCTCTTGCAGAGCTGTCAGTGAGGTGAGTAGTGAGACTCAGACTTATGTCTGAATGCTAGCTCTGTCATAGACTAGAAAATGTATATAATCTGAGCTTCCCAAACTTCATCTAGAAAATGCAAATGATAATAATTTGGGGAATGTGAGGATTAAACAAAAAGGTATGAAGGTGACCAGAGCACACCAGGCTCTCAATGTGACTTCCTTTTGAAACCAATCACTTTATTCCAGGACTCCAGCCCCTCTTTCCAGCACAAAAACAGCTACCATGCAGTGAAGAACTCTTCACTAGGACTTAGTAGACTTAGGCTCCAGTCTTATTTCTACCACATGTGGCCATGGGTATAATCACTCCCTCTGATTCGTAGGCAGTTTCTTCACCGCTAAAGTGAGTTGAGGTGTGAACGACCAGACAGATAGTCATCCATCGGAAAACCCCCAAGAGCACAGCATTATCTGAATAACCGAGCGGGATGGAGGATTGTCTCCGTTCCTCCCACACTCAAGTACCGAAAGGTCACCTGACCTAGTCTTATTCTTTATAGCAGAAATCGGGCAAACCCATGGCGCCGTCCACAATCTCTACAGCCGCCGACCTGGGTACAGGGGAAGCAGGCGAAACAACACACACTACTACGCAGACCAGGGTTACGTTAAGGCCGACGCCCACACACATCCACACACACCCCTACACACCCAGACTTCGCTAACTTGTGATGATAAATTAGGGCGCAGGTGACACCACTGTCCCGAGCTTCAGTTGGAACGCTAGTCCAAGTCACTGTCCTAACTGCAGCTAGCACTGCCGACCTTGTCCGAGGAGGATTTTCCTTCCGCTCCCTCAACTCCGACTCTCCCAGGGAGGGGACGGGGCCAGGGACACCGGCGACACTTGCGGGGAAGGAAGTGGGATCTCGCCTTTGGGAAAGCCCGGGCGGAGAGCTGAGGGCTCGCTGTCTCACCTTAGCTGACGTCCGCTCGAGCTCCTACTCAGAGAAAGGTCCAGGCCCTAGTGCCAAAGCTCTGCCGGACCAAGGGGCGGGTCCTGCCCCGAAAGGACCCCTCACCCCGCGGGCGGGCAAGACCTTTCTTGCGGGCTGCCCTCCGGCCGCCTGACTGGAAAACCAGGCACTCCGCCCCTCCTCTCCGGGCCCCCGTCCTTCCCCGAAGAAAGGGACCTTTCGGCCCGGTTAGCCAGGAGCGAGGGGCAGGGCTAAGGGGCCGGCGGCCACTCGGCGTCTGGGTTTTAGTCAGGCAATGCGCCAGGCGCCTGGCCGCCAGGCTACGGGAGGAAAAGTCCTCCGCTTGGCCGCACCCGTTAGAAGCGCTCTTACTGCTGTCCTCTTCAATTCAACATGGTGGCCTGCCGGGCAATTGGCATCCTCAGCCGCTTCTCTGCCTTCAGGATCCTCCGCTCCCGAGGTGAGGCCTGGCCGAGGGCATCCCAGACCTCCGGGCAGAACTCCTGCGAGGACTGGGTTGGCCCCGGAGCCGCGTCTCCCTTTCGCTGTCGCCTGCCCCAGCCTAGAGACCCAGCCCTCTGTGGGGAATACTGCCCTGGGACCCCGTTTCCTGTGACCTTGTGAAGGGACTGTCACTTACCCTCTCACGACTCCTGCTGCGATTTCAGGCTCCCTAACTCCCAAACTTTCTGAGTCTGGTGCCACTCGTTCTGTCACCTTTCCGCGGGTCTCCTGCGTCGCACTTCTGGGCTCACGCCCCTCATATTTTCTTGATCCGGAGTTCCAGGAGAATCGGGATCCATTCTGTCGCATCTTTGTGGCTCCACAGCACCTTGCCCCGCGACAAGAGCTATCTTAAAACCTTGGATGGGATTAATCAGCCTTGCAGATCACTGCCCCTCCCTGCTCGGTTCCCTCAGAACCATTTTTGTGCTTGCTACCCCATTCAAGTAGGGAGCTCAACTCCTGCAGTTTCAGTAATGCCAGTGTGAACGTATAGTATTTTGAATTTCAACGGGAGGTTCTGCAACTTACTGGAAGACACACTTTAAAAATACACTAATACCTCTACCTTAAGGAATAAAATGTTAGATGGTTTTGAGAACAATTTCTAATCTGATGATTCCCAGTCAACCTCTATTAGCTAGTGTTTTTCCTTTTCAAACTGGCAGTGAAGGGGCTAAAATAGGTGGTTGTAGGAAACCTTGCATTTTCCTTCCATCCCAAATCTGTAAAGTCAAATGTGAATGACGTTTTATTGCATGTTGTGTTTAATAATTTACTTAATTAGAAATTTTAACTTTTAATTTAATTTGTAATATGAATTATCTCTCCTCCTCCGGAACCGCGGAAGTAGTATGCTTTTTTTAGACACGTAGCTGAAATCTCTTTACTGTAAGGGGATTATTTGAATGATTGAATATTTTTCTGCTCCCTTTTTTCAACTGCTGTTTTTAGTCTCCACAAAACTGTCGCATATATTTGCCAATTATGACATAAGCACATTATAGAACTTTGAAATGCTGAAAGGATTGAGGAAAGGGATGAAAAAAAAACGATCACCCATTGTCTTACTGCTCATGTGCTTACCTACAGTTAGCCTTCGGTTATATTTCCTTACAGGTTTGGTGGTTTTTTCCCCTATTTTCACAACACTTTTGAAAAGTCACATGTATAATTTTTATCTTACCCCTGTATTGGTTTGAAGGTATTTCTTATGGATTGGCAGCTGATGTCACTTGGAAGTGGTAGCCAGGGCACGTGATTCTAGTCACTAACTAGCTGTGTGACTTTGGACAAATGCCTTAAACTAAATGTAGGCTTTATTTTCCTCATCTGCAAAATGAATGATTGAGACGATGGATTTCCTTTGCATGAGAAGTAGCATGACAGAGCAATTAAACACATTGTTTGGGTCGGGTGCAGTGGCTCACACCTGTAATCCCAGCACTTTGGGAGGCTGAGGCGGGCAAATTATCAGGTCAGGAGATCCAGACCATCCTGGCCAACACGGTGAAACCCCGTCTCTACTAAAAATACAAAAAATTAGCTGGGCGAGGTGGCGGGCGCCTGTCGTTTGGAGTCTGACTTCTGGGCTTGGACCTAGCTCTGCCTTTTACCCTCTGGTGACCTTGGGCAATTAATTTCTGTGTGTGTTTTCTCATTTGTAAAATGGGGAATAATACCACCTTGTGCGATGGAAAGGAGTTATTTTAGATATCAGGCAGTTTTTCATGGAGTAAGCACTCAGTAAATATTATTAACTACAGCCTGGAAGAAGTACAGTTGTATATGTCTGAGAATTTTTAAAAGTAATTTTTACATCTTGTATGTGTAATAAAAAGCTACCAACCTAATTTTTCTGTTTTTCTGTATAGAAATATATAGACACATAAAGATATATTTTGCATTGTGTCTTCACCAGTAAGAAAGTGTCAGTCATTGTAGTTACTGGTCCGTTAATAGCAATTTATAAATTTTGAAAAAAGTCTGGAAAGTGAATTTAAAATGACCTGCACCCTTATATTACTATTTAGACTCAATAGATCCTTCACACTAAAAGTTTGTGCAAGGCTTTGCTAAACATTTAATGAGATTATGACGTTTGCTGGCGGATGATAAAATTCTCTTGAAATGGGGCCAGGCGGGTGGCTCATGCCTATAATCCCAGTATATTGGGAGGCTAAGGCAGGCAGATCACTTGAGGTCAGACGATCGAGACCAGCTGGGCCCACATGGTGAAACCCCATCTCTACCAAAAAATACCAAAATTGGCCAGGCGTGTTGGCGCGCGCCTGTAATCCCAGCTACTCAGGAAGCTGAGGTGGGAGAATCGCTTGAACCTGGGAGGTGGAGGTTGTAGTGAGCCAAGATCACGCCTGGGAGACAGAGTAAGACCATATCTCTCAAAAAAAAAAAAAAAAAAAAAAAAATTCTCTTGAAGGAGACTTGTAATTCTTGAAATTTTAAAGCATACTTTCTCTACAAGTGCTATAATTCTGAATGTGAATATCAAATGAAAATCACTTCTTTACCAAAATGTCTTAATTCCCACTCTTATCCTAGATCTAAATTCCTAATTATGTAAGTAGTAAAATAATTTCACAGGAGATGAATTTAGAGGCAAATACCTTAATAGATGGTGTTTTTTTTGTTTTTTTTTGTTTTGTTTTTTAATTTTTTTGAGACCTAGTCTCACTGTGTCACCCAGCCTGGAGTGCAGTGGTGTGAACTCGGCTCACTGCAACCTCCGCCTCCTGGGTTCAAGTGATTCTCATGTCTCAGCCTCCAGAGAAGTTGGGGTTACAGGTGCCTGCCACCATGCCCTGCTGACTTTGTGTGTGTGTGTGTGTTTAGTAGAGACAGGGCTTCTCCATGTTGGCCAGGCTGGTCTCTAACTCCCGACCTCAGGTGATCCACCCACCTCAGCCTCCCAAAGTGCTGGAATTACAAGCGTGAGCCACCCCGCCCAGCTGTAGATCGTGTATTTTTAAATTTGATTCTCAGTTCCTTAAATCTCATCCCTTCTTCCAGCGTTGAATCTTGAGACAAGCTGTTGATTGTTACGACCAAAGTAATGTTTTCAAATTTGAAATTTGTGTTAGCATAATCCAGCTCTCTCCGCTGACTGTAGTCTTACGAGGTTTTGTAGGTATTCTTGAGTTACATTACAGAGATGATTAAAAAGTGGGACAAAGGTTTCTGTGTACTTTGCTGGCACTGTAGATGTAGGCTAAAGTTCACTCCACTGCCATAGGGTAAGCTCTGCAATTAGGTAGTAAGTAAGGCTAGATTCCAAAAGCAAATCTACCTTGTAATCTGACTTGATTTAGTTGACTCTGGCTTGGAATTTTTTCTAAGTATGTTTGTGTATGTACTGGTTTTCTGTTTGTTTTTTGTCTTGATCTTGGAGAGGTTTTGTGTATGAGTGTGTGGACATAGGTAGATTAGTAGATACGAGTTAAAATGGTTTAAACTGTTGGCTAATGACCAGTAACCTGTCATCTCAAATATTTGCTCTTTAAAACTGCAACCTAGTGGGGCACATGGCACATGCTTGTAGTCCCAGCTACTCTGGAAGATTACTCGAGCCCAGGAATTCAAGACCAACCGGGGCAACACAGGGAGACCTCATCTCAAAGAAAAAAGAAATTTTTTTGAAACATTGCAACCCATGCTCATTCTATTTCCTTTTTTTGCTTAGGTGCTTATTTTCTAACATATTTGTGTTTCTCGGTTTTTCCCTCCCAACCTGCATTCCCAATCAGTTCATTCCCACTCTAATCCACTTTACCCTGTTTTGCTAGAATTACCTATTCCCTGCCTCCCTTCCCACTGGAATTTCTACTTTGCAGGAAAGCTTTTTCTATGCCAGTCCTATTTTCACTTTTATCTTCACTGAGTAGGAACTGATTCTTCCCAGATATCATATCCCCCGCTGACCTGGAATGTAAGCTCCACCAAGACATGGATTTTTGTCTTTTTTGTTCACCGTGAGTGCCTTGCTGTACTCCAAGTGCCTAGAACAATGAATGACACATGGAGGTCACAAAATTTGTTGAATGAATAACAGATTATGCTGGAAGAGATTACAATGTGGTTGGCAAAACACCTGCTACAATGCAGCAGTTAGAGGACAAAACAGTAAATAATAAAATAAAAATGCAGGCAAGGAAAGCAAAGATCACCGTAGACAGAATCCAAAGATGAGGTTTTGTGGAAAAGATTGGAGTCATGATGCAAATATAAAGAAGGAAGCGTGGTAAATATAGATGACACAGATTTCAAATGATGGAAAAGCAAAGCAGGAAACATACTATTAGTCAAGTAGAGGCACTGGAGATTGAGGAGATGGCTGGCTTCTCCTATCGTAAAACACTGAAGTTCACTTGTAAGAGACTTGTTGTGGCCACACAGCTAGTAAATAAACCTGATGGTTGAACACGAGTCCTTTGCCTTTGCACTAAGAGGGCTGGCTGGCTTGAAT